TGGTTGTTTGCAATAAGGAGGGGTATGTGTGAGAGAAACAGGGGAGTATGTAAGCAAAACAGCTGATTTGCACTGAAGGTATCGCCATCAGAGACTTCCCTAAAAGTCCATGAGTGTTCTCTCTGTAATATAAGTCTGAATCATTAATCCTTCTGCAACCAGGCAGACTTTAAAATTACATTTCAAATCCAATATTCCATAAAGAGCAAGAAATAGTAGATAGTCTATTTTGCCTTTTAATCATTCAGAGGCAAAAACAACTTTGTGTTGTCAAGTTGTGCATTCCTCTGCTTTTGTACTTGTCCTCCTCTGAGCGCTGGCAGGTCACACTAATGGAGCTTCTGGAATAACTCCAGAGGTTTTGCAGTCAGTTAGGAAGAAAGCAGAAAAGTTCCTGGGGAGCTGATCCTCTGCCGGGGTCTCTCGTGTCTGTACACTACAGGGCAGCTACTCTGCCACTTGGCAGGGTATGGAAAATTCTGGATTTCTGTCTCAGTAGAATGAAACTGATTTTTATTTATAGGTACTTTGTCTTGTAGCTGAAAGCAAGTAAGTAAAATGGAAGCATCTGTTGCATAATGTAAGGAAGTGTTCACTTTGAAAATATATACATCTACATAGATGTGTGTACACACGTTCATATTTCCTAGTGAGCAAATTGTATTTAAAAAAATAAGTTTGAGGTCTAGGGGTAATAAAGGATCTTTTGTTGAGCTTTGAGTTGCACATTAACAGCATCGCAGCTGCTCTGAAAAATCAAAATAGCTGAAGGAGGGCAGCTGCTCCCTGGCACAACAGCGGCACAGTGCGTAATATGTAATGCCTCCTACCTGCATGTGAGTGCTCAAGCACCCCTGTGCTCAAGTGTAGTGTGCCTTGTGAGCTTGATTTCCTGGTATGGACTGGGTAAGCCCACTCTTGGCTCCAGCTTGAGGCCACTGTCCAAAATATATGGATCAAAATGAATCTTTGTGTGCCAAATGGCTGTCAGCAGCAGTGCAAAGCAAATTAGCCATAGCTCAAACCCTTAGATTCCTTTTGAAAGGTCATGTTACTTGGAATGTTTGCTTGGGAATACATAGAATTAGAAGAGGAAAACAACAGTGCCATGAGCAAAGGGTGTGCAACATGGTGATGAGTGAAGGGATGGCAAGATGGGTAAGCCGAGGAGAGCAGCTGGTCCTGCTGTGGTCAGCATGGTGTGACATATGGGGAGCAGTGGCTGGGGGATGCACGGTGGATTGGATGTAGGGCAGGAACATTTGCCAGGTTCCAACCACAAGTATTCCGGAGAGCCATAAGCAGCATTGCTTTCCCTGGCCAGGCTCATCTAGTGTACTAGAGCTTCCTTTTATCCTGCTCTCCCTTCCCTGTTGGGAGCTCTCACCAATTCCCCCACATCCTCAGACTACCAACAGCTGGTGCAGCCACCCCTTCCCACCACCTGCATAGCCCTGTGTCACAGGCCCTGTTCCCTTGAGATGGGGAAGAAGGGGCATTAAAAAGTCCCCATTTACAGCTCTCTTCTGTCTAGCAGTTGTACCCAGCCTGCCTCCCACCCTGTTGTCCTGGGGCTCTGCACCACACACTGTCCCAGCATGTGCTGTCAGGTTGCATATCTCTGTTCTTCCTGCCATCTTTTTATTGCTGCACAGTTTCCTTCTGTCATGGCCAACGAGGTGAGGGCTCTCAGGCCTTCATCACCACTCTGCCTGTGGTGAGTCACCCCTCACTGTTGCTGTAAGTCTTCCCAGGTCTGCTCTCTTCTTGATCCCATAGATCTTTCCCCTTTCCCTTCTTTTCTTTGGTTTTAAAAACATCACAGTGAGAGTAAGAAAGTTGTGAAGACGGAAGGCCAATTTTAGCCACAGTACAAGCAACACAGCTTCTGTTCCATGGGCATTATGTTTGCTGGCTCCAGGGCAGCCTAGTCTGGTACTGGCACTGCTGAGAATTTGCATGTTTGCTTTCAAGGCAGCTGAGATAACAGCAGTCTAAACAGTTGCTCTTTCTGGTTATTTTATAAAAACAATTTACTGTGTCCACTGGAGTGTTGATTTGGCTCAGTGACACTGCCTTTGTACCAGGACAGCCTGGTGCTATTCCAGGCTGCATGCAGATGTAGGATCTAAAGTCTCTGTTCACCCCTTCCAGTTGTGGCATAAACAAGGCTGAGGGGCAGCCCTGTGCACCCTGTCCTGCTGCAGCCTGCCTCACAGAAAGCCTAGGTGTTCAAGGGCAGGGTCCTCTCTCTGCACCCCAACCTGATTCAGTCACTGCTCTGCCCTGGAGTGCAGAACCTTTAGGCCTAGAAGAGAGAGTGGTCAGAGAAATGCCTGCCACTTAAAGCATGCTTTGATACGTACAGTGTTTTCTTCCTTCAGGAAAGGGGCACTCCGGACCAGCCCTTACAGTGCACAATTTCATGAGAAATCCACTTGAGTTCTGAGTGACAGCACTGTTTTTCTCTAAGCTCTCATCTTGCACTTTAATGTTCAGTGAACCAAAATTGTTGGATTTATTTTCTAAGAGTCTGGTATCTATGGTAGCAATCAAACCTACAAATTGTGCCTTCTAGTTGAACTCAGTAGACCCAGCTTTGTGTAATTGAAGCTGCGGTATGATAAAGAGTTCTGTTATGGCTTCACGTATTGATCAGTCCAATTTAATTTCCTCGTGGGACCTGGGCTGTGTTAGGGATGATGGATTGTGTTGAAAGCCCGATAAGCGTATTTTAACAAAACATCTCAAGGGCTTCTAGAACAGAGGCAATTATCAATACTGATGCATGTTTCCTTTCATCAAAAGTTAAGGGCTCATTAATAGGCTGTACAGCAGCTGCTGTTGCAACACATGACTTTTTTTTATTAACTTGGAGATACTGTTTCCTCAACCTTGTAAGTGGGCTGTTTCCTGGAGGAAAATAAATTGGGTTCCAGGTTTTGTTTTTAATTGTATGTGTGCTAGCAGTATCTTCTGCACTGCTGTACTCACTATTTTGGTAATTGAAACCTACTTTATATTTTAGGGTTATAGTCTTGTCCCAGTGATCATACCAGTATGTGAACTGCTACTTAGGTCCTATAGCCAGAATTCTGTGTTGGGTTACTGATCATGGCTACTGTTTTTAATCTTCATGTTGTTGGTAAAATAGTTTACTGCTGTGGATTTGGCAATCAGCATTTTTGTTCAGCACTGAATATTTTAAAAAGATTTTTATTTTAGGCTCTCGGTTATAAGAAGGAAGACCGTTGTTTCTGTTGACAGTGTTACCTTTCCTATATAAAAATGCTAACACTTCATTTATAAGCTATTTGCTGTAGGTGGGCTGTGGGTGTTAAATTCAAACTTGTTTAATGCTGCGAATAGGATGTAAGAAAATACGATTGAAGCGAACTGTTATGTTAAACTTGATTTTTAAGCAGTTTTCAGACATGCAGCTATAAGTTCAGTGCTTTCCAGAATTGTTTGCCTTAGCTAGTAGGAGGAGTTGCCTTTATTTATTCATCAGAAAACAATCTAATCCATTTAATGCCCCTATAATGATTTCACGTTTCTTTCCCATTTCACACACGTTATCTCATTAATTAGCATAATTCTACTCATTAACACATGGATTGAAAGCAGTAATGTTCAAAGGGGTAATGCTTTCTTTCCAGCCTTTCCTTTGCTTTCCTAGCATTGAAGAATGTGGATGGGTGATACCTAGAAAAAACTGGAAGCATAGTTGGCTAGAGCCAAGCATATATAAGTGTAGAGGCCACGAGGCATGTTCCTTTTCTTGCTCAAAGTCCTGCGTTGTGAGTTTGGTGCTTCACCATATTTGATTTTTTTTTTCTCTTCCTGGTGCCTGAACTTAGAATCATTCATTCAAGCGAGATTTACAATTTTCAAAATAAAAACAAGGAATACTTAGCACTGGTATTTACAGCTTAAAATTGAGAATATTTCTTAGTCAGAAATAAGAAGTTAAAAATATATTTATTTTTCCCCTAAGTATCCTGGAGTTTTTAAAGTTGTAATTTCTTTATGGACTTTATGGAAATGCATGGTACTGATGATCACAGGAATGCTTATTGGGAGGTGGCTGGCACTGTTACTGGAAAGCTCTCTCAGTCTACTCTTCATCAGTTAGTCTCATATTAGTTGTCACACTGGGTTACTGTAAATTACCTTTGACAATAATTAATTTAGATCAATCACCTAATCTTAAAAATAAACGTCACTGAAAAAAAACTAATCTCACTGAAAAAACATGATGATAACAATCCCTTGAACTTACCTAAGATTAAATATATTTTGGATTTAGTGCTGCAAACAGACTGACGGGGCTGATCCAGGCATTTTCACTCGTGATGGAGCCAACATGCTTTTACCTCTTCATGTGCAGGTTCTTTGATTTCAGTGGCCCATGATCCTAATAAAAACCATTGCCATTCAGATCAGTAGGTTCAGCATCACAGCTGAGCAGCACGAAGCAGTTTAAGTGTACTTCAGGCCTCTGTTCCCTTCCTCACTCCCCCATTTTCCCCATGCCTGTTCCATGTGGCAGCCCACTGTATGCTGTGCTCTCAAAGCATTGCACAGAGCAAAGGAGCTGAGTTTGCTTTTCAGGAAGGGTTTTTTTTTTATTTCAGAGGTCATTGTGATACGTAGCAGGTTTGAGTTACAGAATAGATCTTTAAAAATAAACTGGTTTTAGGAACATACAGAAAAAAAGCAATTACATGATTTTAAATGGGAGATAAATAAGCAAAGAGGATGTTCCCTTTACCTTTTTTTTTCCCCCTAAATTATATGTTAAATACGTGTTAATGAAGTCTGATGTTGTGGGATAGTGACGCTCTACGCTTGATTTTAAGCCTTAATAACATGTTTAACTATGTCCCTCAGTAGTTTTGATAGCTGAGACCACAGATTGTGAAGTTTCTTCATTTTAATGCTTGCAACTTCTATTCTTTTAAACAATAATATTAATTGTTGTGTCCCTAAATTTCTAGGAGCTGAAGTGCTATATATGAACATGTCAGCATATAATGAAGGACGCCTTCAGTCATCTTTCTGGATTGTTGATAAACAGCATGTGTACATTGGAAGTGCAAGCCTGGACTGGAGATCATTGGGACAGGTAATTCTATGTAACCCTACAGCCTTTGAGCATATAATACTGTTGAGGCCAACAAGTGGAGATGTATTGCTGTTTCTGATTTGCTGGCAGAGGTCTGCTACAGTTTTGATGACTTCTGCATTGACAAAAGTGTACTACTATAAACAGTAATTCTCTGAATCAAAGCATCTATCAGTTTCTATCAAAAAATCGAACAGTTATGCTTTGGGATTGGTTGTTGTTGTTTCTTTGCTTGTTTTTTAAAGGGATTGCCTTTTACTGATTTCTGTGATGATGTTGTTTGAAGGTTGTAATTTCTGGTTTACCAATTAAAAACAAAGAGTAAGCCTCATCAACCATCAGGTCTGAGGTATTACAATCTGCTGCTATGAAGAAATAATCGATCAGTAATGTCATTTGTCTTTTTGTAGGTATCTGTAGCTTTTTTTTCCCCCTCAGATGTCTCAGGAATGTAGAAGACTATAATACTGTAATGGAGCATAAATGACCCTGTGAAATCGTCATTGTTATATTTAGGGAGTGGAACCTGTACTTTTGTATGGCACAACAGAGAGAAATGGAAGCATTCTAGGTTGATAGTTATTAATTTCTTTTTTAAAAGTATTTTCTTACTGTGAGCAGGAACATGAAAAACTCATAATTTTGATAACTGTAAGGGATTTTGTAAAGAAGGCGGCGTGTTCAGTATGAAGCTTTTAAGATCTTACAGGATCAGTCTTCTCAGAGTGAAGTAAATCTTTGCTCATGTAACATACCTACCTTAAACTGGATGCTATTTTAGTATTTTGAATATGATTCCTCATTGTCTTTTTTGCATATGTTTGGAAATTTTGTTGCTCTTACTGTCATATACCGGTATATTTTTATATGTGGTGATAAGACAAAGCCCAGAGGAATATTTGTACAGAGAAAAAATAAGTACTTCTTGAAAGTTGTTGTTAAAGAAAATATGCTTTCAATTAGCTGAGAAATGTATGCTGGGGTTTTAGAAGAGCCTAAGGACATGAGATGCTTGGCTTCTGTTGACGTTAGGTATGAATATCCACTTTCCTTACCTCAGAGTTATACTTCAATACATCAGAATAACTGTCAAAAAGATGTAATATGCAGTCCTAAAATAATAATCTGTCCTGAGCTTTCCACTTAAGAGGCAAAACAAGCACAGGGTTCTTCCATTTTATTATGAATGCTTTCCTCAAGGAGAACATTCTGGCATGTGCATAGGGCCCAGTGTCACAATGAGCCAAGTTATGAATAGGGAGACTCAGCTCCCACTGGTTTTCATTATCAGAGTCTTCATATAGCTATGTCTGAGGGATCAGGCCCCACTTTCCTTCTCTTCAAGAGCCTCAAAGTATACACACCAAGTATAACTGGGAAATAGAGGATAAAGGAGTATCATCCAGAGCCACGTATTCGTGCTGTTGGCAGCAGGGTAGAACTCCTGCATTTCTGCAGTGAAAGCAGGGAACTCTCTGAAGATGTCACTACATATTTACTGTTCCATCCTGGCTTTACCTACAAGGAAGGGGCTGTGAAAAGGCAGACTGGGCTGTTGATTACTCACATATGGTCTTTTTAAAAACTCATCCGACTTACAGAGTAACACAACTGAGGATACTGAATCAGCAAACCACCTGGGCCAGTTTCACTAGACCCTGATAGCAAATCACAGGATAAAGTAGGTCTGTGCTATTCTGGAAACATATGGTACTTTGGCCAATCAAGCACAGCAGTCATCTTCTCACTCAAACGAAACATTCCATGAGAGTCAGTGACAGTGTCACTAGCAGCAGCTCTGTTCAGCAGCACAGTTTAAGTGTAAATTATTTGAGTGCATTCAGACTCGCATTTCATAATATCTGAAATGCAGTGAAAAGCTTAAGATTTTAGTTGTGCACGGTTGTCATATCTTTTTTGAATGCCTCCCCTTGTATTTTCTACATGCATAATTTACTGCTTTCTCCCTACTCAGACTCTGCATACACTCAGGCCACTGCACCGCACTATTCATTTAGGAGCACGTGCTCCTCTGATGCAGTGGTAGTGCTGGAGATGTTCACTTTTAATTCTGTACCAAATACAAGTAGGTGGCTGTTAGCTTTGCTCACCTGACCTGTGCAAAGGCATCTCCAATCCTATCAGATATGAGGCTGGTGCAATGCTGTACAACCAAGTGAAGTTTCTGTGTTCATCTTGCTGTGATTAACAAAAAAAGGTGCAAGCCTCTGCAATTGGTTTGGAGTTTAAAAGGTGTCTGGTAATTAGTTACAAGGTATGTGTTGATAAATGAATATTAGCAGAATATAACTTCAGTTACTAACTGAGTCTGAATTAGTGACAGGCCAGTTCTAAGGGAAAGCCTTAGTGGAAAAACTAACAGAAACACAATGCAACCATGAAACTGCAAGGTAGGCTGCTCACTGAGTTTATTCAGGCTGTATATTTAGATTTGTTTTTCCAAGTGTACAAATCAAGTTCAAGTACAAATCAAGAGAAGAAGAATACAGATTTCCATATTTACAGACTTTACACAAAGGAGCAGATTCTCAGAACCATGTAGGATACTAACAAGATGAAATGTGGTGAGCTAGCCCTTTTAACATGACATTTACAATCTGCATATGACATACTTCTTTCTCCAAGAAATCAAAATTTTTTTTCCAAGTATTTCTGTCTTTACCTAGGTAGTTATTTACAGATTTTCTCACTGCTGTATCCTGCTCAATTCAAACACCAATAGTCTTGCCTTCAGCATGGAAGGAGGTGGTGTTTATTGCAGAATTACATATGTGAAACTGCAGCAAAGAAACTGTTCTAGCTTGATTTTTATTTATTTATTTGTTTGTTTGTCATAGAGGAGAGTAACTATTTGAAGATCTGATTAACTCAAACTGGAGCTGTGGGTTAACAATTTTGTGCCATCGGGATTGTAATGTAGTCCATAATATCTCCACATCTCCTTCCTTTGGCAAATGCTTTTTCCCTGGAAGCACCATGTGCTCAGGCAGCTAGTGTGACTGCATTTGTATTCAGATCAAGTTATAAGCCAGGGGTTGCAAAGGTAATCTGCAGCAGAGCTCAGAATGGAGCCTGACAGCTTCACAGCCTTCTGAGCTTGAGCAAGTTTTGTACGCTGGCAAATATGTTGGGCTACAGTCCCAGAATCTTTACCCTTCTTACCTCTTGCTTGCTAGGGTGCTGGAAGTGTAGAAACAGTCGTTAAATGTTCTGTACTGTAATGTCACACATCTCAGCACAACAGAATATTTATGCAGGGTTACTGTGGTAGATATAACTTGATTGTATTGTTGTAGTTCTGTCCCTATCTGTTACAGCATTATACTTTTCTTGCGAATCTGAATCTAAAGCTGAAATAATTATTTAACTTCCAATAGCTTCTCTAAAATCAGCAGCAGGATTTACATGTACAAAGGTGTCAGATTTCCTTTTACAACAGTAGTGGAGAATTCTTCTCTGCATTTATAAGCCTGATGCTAGAAATCAATCTCATATGAGGCTGGCTAAGTTTTGCTGCTATTTTCCTGACTTTCCATTGCTGACAAGAAGCAGTGCTAGTATTTCCTTTAAAAGCAGTGTTTCTGCTTCAGGAAGAGATATTCTCATATACTATGTATATATCACTTATGGATTAACATTTGTAGTTGCATATATCCTTGTGCTTTTGCCATTTAAAACTTACCTGAATCTGAGCTTTAACACTGCTGACAAAACTGAACACACAGGCTATGTTATATATTATTTCTGTGTAAAACTGTGTTTCAAGTGAGTTGCAAGTTTTCCAAAACTGTAATCATTTTGGCTGAAAACATCTATGTCAGCTATCTGCTTTTGTCTGAAGTCAAAACCCTGCAGGCAAGTGAAAAACAGTGTTTAGCCTTTCTGAAAAAAAAAGGAATTTACAGAAATGAACGTTTTCTTACTCAAAGTGGAGTGTTTTGATCTTTTCTTTGAACAGGTCTAGATTTTGTCAGGATGTATCTTTTCCTGCTGTTAACAATATATGCCAAGTACTCCTCAATCACATAATCTATTCAAAGTTTGCCATTTGTTGATGCCTAACAGTAATTCTTCAGAAGTCCTTTCCTGTCTGTCTCATTTCATTCCCCGAGCTTTTGTGGTTACGTACCTCAGCTTGGGGACACTGATAGACCCAAAGAGTTCTGCAGTGCCACTGAGGTGCAGAGGTGTAATGGGAGGAGATAAGACCAGAAAGGAGAAGGCAAGTGGTTGGCTGTACTGCTCTGGATGCCCTGATCAAGTAACTTAACGGGTCCCTAAAGGGACATGGGTTCGGTCGGGATGCTCTGAAAAAAGCACCAGCAAGACAGAAAGCCAGCTATGGAGGGGGATGAGGAACCTGCAGGAGACTGTCACTGCAAGATAATGAGACTGGGGAGGTGTAGGAAGGAAGGAAGGAAGATGCTGAATAACAATGATCCCAGGGAAAACTGAAATTAGCTATGTGAGGAAGCCAGGCAGATTAAACTGCAGGACAGTTTTGCTGAAGAGAAAAGATGGGAGACTGCACAGGTGTTGAGAGAATTGCAAAATCAGTTAGGAGGTGAGAAATTGTATGGTGATGTGCTAGGAAAATACAAGTGAGGGTTGTTGAGCAGAATAGGGACAAGAGGCTGGGAACTGAGACTGAGAAATGAGTTTCAGTCAAAAGACAAAGTCAGCGGGTGCAGCGTGGAGGTCTGCAATGGGAACTGGTGGGTGAGGACTGGGAGCCAAGGGCTTAGAAAGTCTCTGCCTCTTCTTGTTCAGGCTCTGGTTTGTATCATTACCGTTATCATTTACGTGCTTAACTAAAACATTAAAAGCACTGCAAAATTAGTGTCATCAGTAAGCTCCTATTATTGTTTTTCCTAATTGTAGTATTCTGTTTGAATGGAAAATATACCTTCTACAGCCCTCTGAGCTGCTGAAAATGCCTGTCAAACACTGAGTGTGTGATTTTGTCCAGTAGCTCTTTCTGCGTTTTTTGTTGTTTTCTTTTAAATTTTGCTCTAGTGAACCATTCTTTCTGAACAGGGATATAAACTGTTATGCTACTAATGATTGCTTCTTTAAAAATTTTCCAATCTCCTTTTGGAACTGTAGCAGTAAAATAGTCTTTTCACTGATCTAGATTCTTTCTTGAACATTTTTTAAACTGATAAAATGGTGCAAAGACTACAAACTACTCTCATCAAGCTGGTATACCTGGAAGAATTATATAAAGGCAGTCACTCATTCTTTGTGGTGTCATTTGCCCTTTAAAATGTGATTTAGGAGAGACACTAGAAGAGGTAGATTGTAAAGAAAAAAAAATTAATTACATTTTGAACTTTGTATCTCATATGAGAGATCTATGTGATCATCTGTACAACTTCCATCTTCTGCTTCACTGACATATTTGTTAATTGCTGCAATTGGTGAAGCATCTTCCTAGTGTTGCCAGGCTCTCACCTAAGAAGTTAGTCTTGCAACCTTTTGAACAACCCAAGCAACATCTTTGGGCCACAGTTGGGCAACCCACTTAAGGATGTACTTAAGGCAGTGACACACAGAAGTCTACTGTTAGTCAGCAAAATGTGTACATCCCTGCTAAAATGTCTGGTTAAGAAGGGTTAAAATTGCACAGATTGACTCCATCAGCTGCTGCCTGTGATTTGCATGAGTAACAGTAAAAGGAGCAATGATGCCATATTCTGCTTTATGGTTAATCAACCAGGTAGCTTATTAATGTACCTAAAATAAATTATCATCCATAATAGCAGTGCAGAGCAAGAGCTAACAAAAAATGCCATGTTTCATTTTTTCCATGGCTTCCTCAAATAATTTTAGTGAAACCTGAAAATGCTTTTTGCTCCTTAATTCTCTAAAGGACCATGTTTGTAATACAAACAGAACTGTTAATCAGCTCAAAATACACTTCTGAAAGCTCTTCATGCTAACAGCATTTTTAGAAAAGTTTTATTATTCACACACGAGTAGCTGAATTCAGTGGGCAAACAACTGTAATGGGTTAGCTGAACCATTTCAGAAAAACATGTTTGTATGTGATTATCAGCCCTTGGAAAATGTATTATGGAAAATTATTGAAATGAGTAAAAATTAATCCAGTTGTCTTCCTGGAAGTGGAATCACGTTAATATTAACTACTCATGTTGTAGGCTAACAATAGCTCAAGCTGTGACTTCTAGCAAGTGGCAGGTAATCCAAGCGTATGTGTGCAGTTAATGTCCACATGTGAACTACTGAGCTCTCAACAAGGCTGCTGCCTGTTCCTTCCCTGTGACTGGTAGACTGGTTGTGTTGTGAACACCTGGACCACTATACAAGTGTGACATATCCAAAGTCCTCCAGTTATTAACAAGATTGAAGTCAGGACCATCATCTGGGAGGTCGCTCCTGTGTTGCACTTCAAACTGTTTAAACTGAGGAAAAAAGTGCGTCTTGGCATGCCAGAAAAGGTAGGGGTGCTGGGAAGAAAAGTTCTTGGGGAAAAAAAAGCAGTAAGCCTGAAAATAAATTTAAGTTCTTGGCTGGAGAAAGGATCCTAGAAGTAGGAGAAGGTCCTGGAGATCAGGGATCTGTGAGGAGATGGAGGCTGGTGATGTTCCACGGAATTTGGCGGCAACAACTGGGAGGTGTGAATGTGAGCAGCCACAAAGTAGGGATGGCACCAACTTTCTGATCCAGCATCCCAGACCAGCAGCCACCTCCCTGAAGGGATGGGAGGCGGCCCAAGGTGGACAGCAAGGAAGTGTGCTTGCAAAAATTCAGCAGCTAGAAAAGATGCCTCTTATCTGTTCTTAGACAAACCCCAGTATTCTCTGTCGGTGGTCTTTTACTCTCTCTCTCAATACTCTTCTTCTCCTTTGGGGTTATAAGTTAGAAATTGCTGATTATATCTGCGTAATCAAAGCTAATCAGAAAAATGGATAAACTGTCCCAGCTCTACTAGGACACAAGCAGTGACTTACTCTATCTGAGGGGCTTGGTTTTTATTCACTGCCTTTGAGATATTAAATAAATTGTGCAAGAGGGCAAAAATATGGTAATGTTAATTTCTAAAGTACAGAAGAGTTGTAGTGATTATGAATTACGAGTTACATTTAAATAATAACAAATAAGTTGCTTAATTCATTTATTCCATTAATAATTTATTCAAAACAACAGTCAAATTAGCTGTGTGAGATGACAGAGAGCTGACTTAATTATTCTGAAAAAGTTTATTAAGCGTCTGTAGCTGGAGTAGATAAGCAAGGTTATGCTTTTTACAAAAAAACATGAATAATCTAGTGCATGCTTACAGAAAACGTATGCTGGATTCTTATTTTTTCTGAAATTAAGAACACTACACCTCTTATGAAGACAAAATATAAATTTTTTGTGTGTGTCAATTTTAAGCAAGAATTGCTGGGTAGTATTTTGCCTTAGTATGATCTAGATTTTGAACTCAGCTGTACAAAGGCTTGCAACAGGATGGGTGCAGGAGCACTTATTTATTTCTCAGGCCCTCTCCCTTATAACATAGAAAAAAGGAGAAAAGCAGTAGCTAGATTGCTTCTCTACCTTATTCTCCTCCTCTTGTTGCCTGTGACAAATGACCTTTGATAAAACCTAACCTCTTTTTCTTTCTGGTCTCTTTGAGATGGCAAAAATTGGAAGAAAAAATATGGTGTCTCATATATGAAGAACTGCATCTAACTGCAGTTTGGGGACAATTTGGGATTGTGGGAATATTGGTTGTGCAATGCTCTGATTGCTCAAGGTGTAAAATCAATGAGACCAATCCATCCAGTTCTTTACTCAAAAGTCTCATCCCAATTATATGAGGAGGACTATTTCTGTCACAGCTTGGTCTTGCTGATCTTCATCCCATTCGCTTCAGCCCGTCAATCCCAACTTGTTCAGATCCCTCTGTAAGGTCTTCCTCCCTCTAGGCAGATCCACACTTCCGCAACTTGGTGTCACCTGCAAACTTAATGAGAGTGCATTCAATGCCTTCATCCAAATCATCAAGAAAGACATTCAATGGGCCAGACCCCAGTACCGACGGAAACACCACTCATGACCAGTTGCTAGCTAGATTTAACTCCATTTGCTACCACTCTCTGGGCCTGGCCATCCAGCCAGTTCTTTGCCCAGCAAAGAATGTACCTGTCCAAGCCATGGGCTGCCAGCTTCTCTGGGACAATAATGTGGGAGACAGCATCAAAGGCTTCGCTGAAGTCTAGGCAGACTATGTCAACAGCCTTTCCCATATCCACCAAGAAAATCACCTGACATAGAAAGAGATGAGGTTGGTCAGACTGGATCAGCGTTTCATGAACCCATGCTGGCTGGGCCTGATCCTTTGACACAGGAAACAAGAGTTTTCTGAAACTCGGGATGCTCTTGAATGTTCCTAGGAGCATATACAGTTTATAAGGCTTTTTCTCTCAGATAAGAGGAATAATTATTTTCTCAAACTGCATCCTTAAAAACTGTAGTTTCTATTTACTCGTGCCATCTATGTTATCCTTCCATTAGAACAATATATGTATTTAACTTCTTTACACTTTAAAGTACATCATGATGATTTCATTTATTACTGCTCTCCAAAAATCATGCTATTAGCACAGCCACCTCTCCAAACTTATCGCTGAGGCAGGATCTGTACATTTGCAATTTCTAGTAATGACAGCTGCATCTTATCTTTACAGAACTGCACAGAGCAAGAAGCATGCTATCATCGGTCAGTCATTTTTTTTTTTAACTTTTATCTAAATTAGTCTCTTGAAGTTATGTAACAGTGCATCTGGTCCTTCTGAGATAAGATACTTTGTCTGACACTTAGTGGAATTGCATCTTTTCACTCTAACAAACATTACGCTGTGTTTCCACTGATAGAATGCTGTTTCTTGTATTAACTACAGTTTTGTCCCTAATGTGCATTTTAGACAATATATCCAATCCCTACTGTCATCTCCTAATAATTTGCTTAATTTTCTTACTGTCCCAGAGGTGTCTTATTGCCATTAGTAAATCAGGCATAGTCTCAAGTGCTGAACAACTTAAAACCGCTTCTGCAACTTCATTATCCAGCAAAGTTCAAGCTAGCTCAGACAGGTAAGTGTTATACTGAAAGCAGATGTAGCAGACTACCTGTATACTCCATCTACTAAATTCATATTTCATGTTATCCCTCACATTTGGCAGAGAATATCTGCTTCTACTAAGTTTGTATATATTATTAACTCCGTGATCCAATCGTGAAAATACTCATGCTGCTAGTCTGATTGACTTCAATGGGATTATTTCCAAAACTAGCCCATATTATAAAGATTAAAATGTAACCTAGATCTCAAAGCATATGTGGATGAGTCAAGATGTGAAGAAAACATATGTGAGTAGGTGTTACACAGCTGTACTGACAATTAAATACCTTTTTTGTGCTTTTAGTTCTCATAGCATAGAAAGCAAACTGGATTATCAAAACTCTGCTGTGATGTTGTTACAGTTCATCCTTCAGAGGATGCCTGGAAGTACATTATTTTTGCTCAGTCTTTTGGCCACGGTCCTTTTCTTTAACCAAATCTGTAACAGTTTAATGAGTGCTGTTTCTCCAAAATATCAGCTTTTCTTTACTCCTTTCTTCCTTTCTTTTTCTTTGGAGAGTGGGTGGCAGGAGATATGTTATTCTTGGAAATGCACAGAATACACAACGTGCCTTTGTCATGGTGCAGTGTTTGTATGTTTGGAAGTCTAACTGAGACAGGCCACTTTTTTCTGTTACATTCAGTAGATGAGGAAAGCCAGCGTTCCCTGTTACTTACTTGGCTTGAAATTTTTTATCTCGCCATTCAGTATTTACAAACAAATCTCAGTGAAGCAAATGGGCTGTTGTGTCTCTCGCTAGCATTGCTGTACATTGCAAACAAACAGAAGACTGATTAAAGCTGGATGGAAATATGGGTAATGTGACTACTAGTGTTTTGTGCTTTTTGTTGCTGCTGGCACTGTTTTTGGTTCCTCCTTAGTTCTGTGGATTTCTGTTTTTGCGATCAAGTGAGTGAAAATAGCCTAGGGCTGTGTATTTCCCTTGCACTTAAAGCGAAGACGACTTCCCATGACAAATCAGCTTTGCTAGTTTCTCAAGGTGCAGAGCCAATCCCAAACTACAACATGTTAGGAAGGTATTCCCTGTTAGTATAGTTCTAATGCCATGTCCATTCTTACATGTATCATCTGCATGATGCACTCAGGGTAAAACAGGGCAAACTCTATCTTGCTGCATAGTTTTATTTGATTTCTGTTGACTCAATTTGCTCATCATTCTCTCAGACCTTTGAAATTAGATATCTATTTTGATCTTTTTTTTTTCATTTATTGTGAAAGTTCCATAGAAGAGGTTTGCCTACCATTGGAGTAATCAATAATAAATTGGTTAAATCAATAAATAATAGGTCTACATAACAAAATAATGGAACATCCTGTTTGAACAGTCGTTTCTTTCCAAGGCAGCACAGGATATTCTTGTGAGAATCACCACAGTCCAAAGAAAAATCAAAAGAAAATTAGAACCATTCTTTCTCATAATTGTTTGCTTGCTTTTTCATACTTGCCATCTAATCACTACATTTTAAAATAACCAAGAATTATAGAAAATAAAAGTCACTGGTGAGGATGATGAGAGGGGTGTCCAAACAAGCCTGTATAAGAGCTGTATGCAGTGAACAGTAGAAGAGAATGTCCAAAACTGGGTTTTGGGTTTGCTTTGAGTTTATAGATCCTCCAACCAAATACATTTGCAAGTGTGAGTCCTGTGGTTTCATTTGTCTTGTGTTAATTAAGAAACCCTGAAATAGCAAGACGTGCTGAGATGGTAATGTGCGTTACTGCAGGTATTGCACTAGAAGGCTGTGTGATTTCTGCACTGGCTTGGTGGTAGAGTCTTAAATAAGTAAACTTAAGTGGACAGAAGAAAGACTGTAAATTCTATATCTGTTGAGCTGAAAGAGAACTTGATCATTAAAATACAGCTGAATCCCTGAGGAGGAGGTACTGCACCACAGCCTGTTCTGTCATCTCCCACAAGAACATGCTGGCAACTAATCTTGGTCAGTAATGTTAATGAATGGAGGCAGATTCCTCTCAGAGGAATTTAGCTATTAGCATACCCCATCAGATCAGTCTTGTTCAACTAAACAATTAAAATAACAGCATTAAAATAATCATGACAGTATATTCCCAGTATGTCAGTGGTTCCATCCATGCATACGTACTTTGATACTGCACAGATAGTTCCCTTCTAGATAAATATCTTCATTCAGAATTGCCTCAGCTCCTAAAAGTTCCCTGGTGCAGCAGCCCAGTCATCTCTTACTTTTACAATGGAAGCCTTTCAAGGAAAACTGGATTTAATATTGGTCTGTGAAAAAGATATATGGTACATCAGGCTAAAAGACAAGGCTATAAATCTCCGTAAGTACGGCAAAGAAGGACAATCATTTCAGTCATTCTCTGAAAGGAATAATGAGTCTACAGTTCAGTATAAAATCTCATCTTTCTATATACACAAGTCATCGAGCAGAACAAAACAGATTCTGACAAAGCATTCTTTCCATATGAATGTGCAGAATTAATAGCACCTCTAAACGTTTTCAGATTTTGACACTGTCTTCATAAGCATTAAAGCCTGGTTTGGAAGTCATCTTGCATTCACCTTTATTAACTTTGCCAAGTAAACAGCAGTCTCCAAAGCAGTGAGATCATCAGTGTTTGCATGGAAGTGCTCAGTGGCAAACTTATTCACTTGATGAAGATATATGGGAAGGCAGCATATGCCAACAGAAATGTGAGATACATCTTTAGAAAATTTCAGGAGTATTCCTCTGTTAGGCAATCGATACAGTGACTGATAGGCATTTCCTCTGAACTTAATGGCATGGTAGATTTCTATGATTGGGTAGAAGATCATTCTGTATGGAGCTCTGCCACATGGGTATAGAAAATATGCACCAGGTATATGCACCATATATATATATATATATATATATACATATATATATAACAGTTTCATAATGTACATTCTGCTTTTTAACATACAGTGTATTGAAAATACTTTTCATCATCTTTGTGACTGATATTTTAATACCTTCAACTCTCTATGTGCCATAACAAAAAACTGAGTTTAAAAAGAAATTATAGGAGAAAAATATTATCTATTTTCAGATTGAAAGAGATTGCTAATGCTGTATTTGAATTAACATATTTTCAAGTGTGTTTTTAGGTGTTTCTTTCCTTTTCCTATAAAGTTAGTGATGACTGCTCACTACTGTGGTTGGAAATGGCATCAAATATTACGTTTAATGCCAAGTTTTTTTCACTAGAGAATGTAATAGGGCCACATCATTACAGAAGTGACAGCTTCCATGTCAAAGAAGCCAGAAACCTACGACTTAAAAGAATAGGAACAAAAAGCAAGTATGGATTTCTAAAACACATTTTTGTATAGTATAGGCTAGCCATTATCCTGGGGCTGCCTATGTAATGCCTATGTAATATTTAACTATATTACTTTACTTATCTAAGCTGGTTGGATTTCTAGCTTCCCTTAAGGCCCTATACATTTCATTTAATCAAGATAAAAAAAAAAAACAAAAAACAAAAGAAAAAAAAAAAAAAAAACCAAACAAACCCTTTGGCCCTCACTGCCTGTGATCAGGTAGATCAGGTAGCATGCAAAGGTTGAACAGTTGCAGCAGTAATTCATATGCAATGTCACTGTCCCAGTTTCTATCCACAGCATGCCTGCCACCAATCTATATTCAGTTTGTAAAATGAAAACCCACTGTGTGTGTCAGTAGTGTTATAAATAATGCATCCAATTAGTCAGCTATGTGCTGCTGCATTTCCCTGAAGCTCATGAATCTGAAAGCCCTGAAGAAACTGTGCTTTGATAGAAAAGGTTTACACACAAATAGTGCCTTTATTCTGAGGTCAGTCCTTTGTGCTCTCCTCCATGCGCTGTGCAGCAGAAGATGTAGGGAGGCTGCCCCTTGCAGCACTGCTAAGGGTGAGAAGAAATGCTCAGAGCTCACGCTGTGATTTCCAGCTGCGTGAGGAGGATGCAAGATAAGGGCTGACGGAGGGCGACACGGGCTCTGATGCGTCAGAAGGAGGCAGCGGCATGTATGCGCATGTGTGTGGTAAAGGAGATTCCAGGGCCTTCCAGAAGCTGGCAGGATCCTTCAGATCACCTTTTAATTTTGCTGCAGTTCCAGTAAGGTAGTGAATCATTTGATTTCATAGGAGTGACATGGGTACTGAATGTCACGCATCTTGTCAGCAGTGAAATGATGGGCAGCACCATGTGCTCCTTTCCTTCCTAAGCAGCCCTTTTCTTTTACAGAATGAACAAAAACTGCGTTTGAAAAGAGAAATGGAACCAAGTTAGGAAATCTAATTAAGGTGAATTCTGCAGTAAAGAAATAAATCAAGCTTGATTCCGGAGAAATGGTTTCTTGCAGTTTCTTGTTTGCTTTTTCCCTGAAGAGACATTTGTGCTTGCTTTGAGGGGGTTATGAAACTGTAAACTGAAAAGTCATTTGATAATGATAAATTAGGCTGTGATTATGCCAAGTGATATTAATTATGCTGATAGAGATTATAGCAGGAAATTTTTAACTGATTCTCTTCTGCCTTCGGGCTTGCTCTGACAGGCAGTGAAGTGTTGCTGTGTTTGGTTTGCTAGTGGAAGCACCAGCGGAGTTAATAAAGCCCGAACTTCCACTCAGTGCTGTGTTGGGTTCCATGGGAACGTCACCACACAGTGGCCTGTGACTTAAACAAATTTGATTTGTATTGTTTGAAAAAGTGCATTTATTTTTGATGAATTCCATACCAATGAGCAGATAGCTGAAAAACAAGGACTATTTTTGTTGATGCTGTTTTCTAATGTGCCAAGGACATGGGGGATTTCTTGTTTTCTACTTTGAAGATACGTGGGTATCTCTTCCGCACAAAGCTCTTCTCACACCGTGCCATGAGGTAGAAAGTCCCTTCATTGGCATTTCTAGCTTCCTCTGCCTCTCTGCAGCAATATCTGTCAGCAGAAATGAAATGCTGAACCAAATTATCAGCTCTGGAATTATCCGCCTTATTTTGGCAGCCTTTTACTATTAGGAAATAAAAGCAAAAATAACACATGAAGTTGTAACTTCTCTGACACTTCTAATCTGTGAGAGCCGCGGACTGAGATCTATCAAATGTACTTTCTAGAGGTGAGAATTAAAGACCAGCAAACTGACAGAGGCTGCCAATTCAGCTGTACTCTAGCAGAGTACAGCTAGTCCATTTTGATGTCCCTTCTTGTCGTTTGATGAGAGCATGGCGTGGCTTTGTACCGACGTTCAATGCAAATGCAATGTGCCCCGTGCATCGACTGCATGACCTCTCCTCAGTCACGTGTTCAGGCTTATTTTCAGCACAGTGGCTTGAATGACAGTTTTCCATTTTCAGTGATGGGATCTAGTTTCCAGCTCAGGTTGAGACTGTATTTTGATGTCAAATGGAAGGGATTTTTTTCTACTTTAGTAGAAACTCTGCCTGCCAATTATGTTCAAGTTGCTTAAAACCAAGATGATAGAGAATTAACCTTTGACTTTGAGTGATAACAGTGTTTATGGAAGGTTGAAAGCAGTGAAAAAAACCAACCCACAAAACTTAGCAATTTGAAGAGTACCATGAGTACCATGGCAAAGAATATACGAAACCATGTAAGGAGTGCTGGCTGAGCCTCAGGGCCCAGTGCTTGTCACTGAAGGGAGCAACCAAGGAGGAGAAAACACTGGGACTGACAAGGAACAAAAAAAATGAAACTGGGAAGAGCTACTGGACTGGGCTATGGTAGGGGCACAGATGAGACTGTACGAATTTAGAAAGCTAATTCTGTATGAAAAAAAAATAAGGCATTATTTACACAGAATTCTTCTAATACAGTGTCAGTATGTCAAACTAAACAAAGCTGCCAAACTGCAGAAATGCTAGAAAAGATGCCTGTGTAACCTTACCCTACTTTGTACATAGGTACTGCAATAATGTTTACTGACATATTTGGTTTTTCCCAACATTTCTAATTCTTCCAGATGTGCAGTGGGTTACCCATACTAAATCAACAGCATTTTGCTTTTCGTTACTGAACAAGCTTTAGTGCACGCTACTGAAACTTCTACAGAAAGGTGGGTCATTTAATGCTTTTGGGAGCTTATATTGTCTTACATATCTCAGTACTGTTTTCTTCTTTATTGTAATAGTCTGGAAAACCATGAGCTTAGGAGGAAAGACTCTTCATGTGCAAAGATTTTAAAACTTTTCTTGTCAGTGCCACAGTGATACAGGTCACCCCCAGTTTGCTCGTACAGTAAAGAACACTCAACTTGAATAAATACACTATTACCCAGGTTTTAGGGGTTGAGCTGTATTTCTTTGAATTAACTCTTGACTTATATCTCTTATGTGACTTTCTTATTGTTCATTAACTATTTTTAATATAAATTTGGATCTTGCAGAAACACAAACATCCTGTTCTCAGTAACATTTAAATACCATATTTGCACACAAATACTACAGAAGCCTGGGATTCTGTTTATCCATCTTGTGACTCAGTGCTTTAAGGTCTGCAAAAGTGTAAACCCTTCCAACAGGTATTGTTTAGACTTTTTAACTGTTGTTTTATGCAGTGTATTTTGTTACCACATAAGAAACCACATAGGACAAATGAGTCCCGAAGGACAAGGTGATACAATTGATAACTCCTATGTTAATTAGACAACTACGGAATGTAGGCAAGGCACCAGGGAGGTCTATGAACAGGCCTTGCAAAGTGATACATTGGAGAATGGTTGAGAGTTTAATTCTATGAATTTCTGAATACCATTTCTTCAATAAAACTGCCCACAGAAGACAGCAGCAATAATTTCATTGTAATGGTTAATCACAGCATTTAATGCTTGAATTCCTAAATGATCGTCACATTTTCAAAGTAACAGGGAACACAGATAAGAAAATTTATTTTGCCTGTTGACAATTTTTAACATCCAAAGAACTTATGTCAGGTAGCTGATGTGAGACAGAGTTTTACTCACTTTCTGAGAATGTAGTGTTTTACTATTTGTATTAATCTTTTCTATTTAGTATTTTCCAACAGTACTATAGGTCTCGTTCTTATCTGCATGGAAGGGAAAATTGGAACTCAGAGCAGAAGCAGGGCTGTGCTGGATTTAGATTTCACTGAATTTTCTCTCTTGTTTCTAACACAACAAAGCTGTGAAGCCTCTGCACTGTATTAAGAGCCAAGCATGGCAGCAGTATTCTGGCTCTGGATGCACAGGGTTTGGTTGCAGGTTCTAGCGAAGTGTTAGCTGAGGTTTGTGCTTTGCTGCTTTGGTGAGCTCTAATGCCTGCATGTGTTCTGCGAGACAGGTGAGGAAGTGCTGCAGCCTGCGCAGCCTCTTCAGAGTCAGGTTGTGTTTTTGTTGTACATCAAAGTGACAGCCACCCGAGTGGGGTCTGTTACACCTAATGAATTTGTGATGAGCGCTACTCCTGTAATCCCATTAGAGACAAGCCTGCTACAACACTCCTGTCAAACACCATGGTACCAAGAAACGCTTCTCTCTATCTCAGATCTCCCAGCTTTCCTTCCCCTGGGGATGGTCATCCTGCACTAGGGCTGCAGGGCACCCAGCACATCCTTCCTGTCCCTCTCAGCGGGTTTGGTGAGGGCTGTGGAACAGCGGTGTGAAAGCAGCCATAGAGTGATGATGCTGTGTGTGACTGGAGAGTCACTGAGCACTGTCTGCTGCCAGATGGAAACAGGAGGGAGATGGGAGGGGTGTCACATGAGGCTGATAACTGAGTGAAAAGGAACCCAGTGTCTGGAGCCCAGGCTGACCACCTATCTATAGCACGTTATGAGCAGGTCCTGAATTTACCACTGAAAATATCTGCAGCCTGCTGCATGGTGGTAATTAATACTGTCTGTTATTTTCCTTCAGAAGCTACAGAAATTCTGAGGATCTTTTAAACCTTAGTAATTGACAGATCACACTTCTTGTTACTCCACTGCCCTAGTGTTGTCATTCTGCTTTTGCTCAGTCGTACATTTGGAAATTGCTCATTAAAACCCCCCACGGACCTGAAAAGATAATGAAATACATTTTCAAACACAGACAAAGGGCAGACAGGAGGCAAACACATGCAGCCCTATACATAATGGTCTGCTGAGTAAATTTAGAGTTCAACAACAGACTCCCTGTAGTTATTCCAGTGCTTCCCTAGCACAGGCAATGGATGGCGCCTGCAGATTGTCTGAGCTTTCAGGCAAATGGCAGCTGGTGCCTCAGGAGAGCTGCACAGCATTTTCAGGATCGGATGATCAGACTTCAGACAGAGCAATCATTAAACATTTTTTTAAGAAATTAATAAGGAATTTTCTAAAGCCTCCTGCTCTGCTCACACAAGTCAGATACTACAAGCTGTGAACCAGATTGTGCCACTCTTATGTAGGTCAGATAGTACCTTGCCTACACAAGGGGGCTGTTTCCTAGAGTGTATCCCAAGATAAATATAGAACACACTGTCTGGTCTGTGCACTCTGGGCTACGGAGACAACATGCCCTAACCCCATCGTCCACAAGTTTCTAAAAAGCCTTATTGTTTCTCACATTATGGAACTTGAGTGTTATAAATCCACAACCCTTTTGTTTTAGATTATCTTCCCTTGTTTTCTCATTTTGTAAGCAACACCTACAAATGTGTAAGAGCAAAGAACAAGCAAAAATTTCTATTACTGAAATCTTGTTTACAGTCCAGTCTAGTAAGTTATTCTTCCTCTTGTCACAAAAATCAGTTTTTCTAATTAGAAATACTTAATTTTCTAACTTTCTATTACTTTTTGCAGCGTAATTGTCTTCTGTAGTTAGACCATCATCATACAGGGCCACTGTCATTTTTCCTTGAGTCTTTGTAACCATTCACTTCTCTGGTGATTTAAGAAAGCACTTCCTGGCAAGAAATATAGATGTTCATTTGTTAGTCTTTAATAGATACTCTGTACAAATGGAAATGGTGTGAGCAATAACAAGGGTAGCCCACTCTGTTGTTTTTATTCTTTGAAAAGGACACTTATGGTGGCTCTTAAATAAGGAAAGAGAGGACACAAAATTCCCTGTTCCCAGATGCCAACGTATGCTTTGAAAATATCAACTAAAATATCACAACTTTTTTTCAGATTTTCCTATCTCAGTATTTCAGTTCCATTTTGAGGCATTCAAATTTGTGACTTTCATTCATATTTATCTTCCATAGACTTTGATTTCTTGAGACCTTCTTCGCTTTAATTTTTCACTGGTATTGTCATTATTAAGTTAAAAGTTGCTTTTAAAACTTGGGCTGAAGAAATACTTCCTTTGCCTTATAAGCTCTAGACCTGGAGGAATTTACCGTATCAGATACCTTGGATGATGCTTAGCTGCAGGTTTCAGTCAGTGGAAGTCAGGGAGCAACACTCAGATTTTGATTCTTTCAATATAAATGTTTTTTCTGCCTCTCCTGTGAGACTATTGAGAGAAAAAAAAAGTCTGTAATAAAAAACAGCAGCTCTCAAACTGAAGGGAAATTCTTTTCCCTTATCTAGATGACATACAACTTCATACTAAATCTGTCACTAGCACATCCTTGCAACCCACTCTCAGAAGTGCCTCCAGGATGACAGGCTTTGTGATTAACTGGGAAAAAAGCAGTCTCTCATCAACTCAGTATGTGAGTAAAAACAGGCTCTGTGTAGAAGATGCTTCTGAAGCAGAAGCATCACGTTTTAGTCTCCAAACCTACTTAAGGCTGTTCTGCAACAACAATGGGGCTGAGGTTTCTGTGAATTTTTTTTGTGCTGTTTTCCTTTCAAGGTGACTTGAACTAGACTGTATCAAGCCCACAGACCAACATTTAACCTCATCTTCTAAGGAAATGTGCTCTGCACAGTAAGCATATGAGTTGCTGTCTGCCCTTTTCCGGTAACTTTCAAGCTACTTTCCAAGTTCAGGCAACTCTGAACTGAATTCCATAAAGCTTAATGAAAACAGGCAGCTGGAAAAAGAAAGTAACTCTTATGCCAGAGGAAAAGTAGGAGTCCGGTCTGTATCACGTACCGGCGAGCATGTGTGGGGAGACTTCTTATCATGACTTATCATTATTTCTTATCATCCCTGCTTCCCAGAAGCAGGGAAAGCTTTGATCACTGTGTGCCTCCAGAGGGGACAACTGCACGATGCAGTGCTGTGGGCAGCCGGGTTCATTACTGCAGGGTGAACCTGGAGTGGTGTCACTGAAGCCCATGTGCCAGGCAAGGTCTGGCTGCAGCCTGCTGTTTGGGCACAGCGAGCACTGTGGAGCACATGCAAGGTGGGTTGTAAAAATGGCAGAGGCACAAAGCGGGTAGTACAGCAGGCTGCTTCCTCATCTCTGTAGGTAAGGAAGTGCAGAGGCAGAAGGGCAATGCTTTGGTTTGCAGACAGGGAGAAAGCACGCTTCTCTGAAGAGAGCTGCTCACACAGATGCAAGGCTGACAGCCTCTGGTTTGCTGACTGGTCGCTATTTTATCCTTCTGCTTAGTGGAGGGATAAAGTGGAATAGTAATAGTGGAACTCAAAAGTGAAAGGAAACCTGTAACCACATAATTATGTAGGAATCAGCTAAGAGCCATGAAAAGCCGATTAAGCTGTATTATGCAGATACATGTAACTGAATATTATTAGTAAGTCCTCTGCAATTACGTGCCTGGCAATTAAGGGAGCAGCATTTGCAGTGCTCGGTGAAAACAGAGATAATGTACAGTTTAAAATGTTTGGAGACAAACAGTGCGCAGAGGTCAGAGACAGCCTAAAACTAAAAACAGGAGCATCTTCAAAGATAGCAGCACCCAGGGGAAAAAAAGAGATGTTAGTCCAAACAGACTGGCTCGGATGCTGGGCACAGCTTGGAATAATTTGTATTTATCATCAAAATGAATTTACTGTCTTATGAATAAGATGCTGCAGTGCAACAAGCAGTCTGTGTTTTTCAACTACCCACAAATTGCTAGCTGTACAGGTTAATGGAGGAGTATCTTATTTTTCTCCAAATTAAATGAAAAAAGTTCATAGTAATATTAAGACTTAAGCAATAGTGATTTTGGGTAATGTTCCTGCGGCTAAAGCAATTTGGTAAATATTTGGGAATGAGGTTGTTAAGAGTTGTATATTCTGATGTATGTGGTACTTCCAACTCAGGGACTTGAAGACGGTGCCAACCATCGTACTTCCTTCACACTGCAATGTTGGGATCTGCTGTTTCCCACCACTGGAAGGGAGCAAAGGTTCGGCTCTATTCTTTTCTATTCCTCTGCTCACTCTTGCAGTGTTTCTTATCTGCAGACAAAACTGTGCAGGAACAATCTCCAAGATAACTGTGTGTGTCTCAAGCGTTCACACAGGCTCTACAAAAACATACACTCCTCTCAGAAACTGCCTGATGTGACTGTGGTGAGCTCATCTGAAGCAATGCAACCAGTGAGGAATTTGTTGTGTCACTGAAAGCACGAGCATGCAGGAGAACTCACATCCTCCCTATTTTCTTCATCATGTCAGGAAGACTTTTGGGACATGCTACCAAGAGAGTGGGCTTGCAGAAAAACAGCATCGGTCCTTTAAATATTTGTTCTACATGTTGATTTTCAACAGGAACATGCAGATTGTCTTGGTTTTTGAAGATGGCTGAAGTAATGTGAAATGTAGATAAGAGGTCAATAGCTTTTGTGCCCACAGCAGTGCTTTCCTGAGCCTAGTGTGTAAAGAAACAAAAGGTAGAGAGAGGCTGTGTCGTTACACTTTGATTTCAAAATCCAGAATCCAAAGAAATAACTTGTAAGTGGAATATATATATAAAAGTTCAATGACAGAAATACTGGGTATGTGTAATCAATCAGATCTCTGCCAAACCAAGACTTCAGGATAATCACGAGATGTGTCTTCACTTATATGGAGTATGAAGACTGTTAAAGCATTTGATTGTCTCATACTACTTACATTTGCTTCAGCTATTTTCCCTCATCTTTACATGTGAGAACAGTGATGCTTTCAAAGTGCTTAACTGTCTCTGTTTTCACATGCAACAAAACTGATGTCCAGAAATTTGGAGTCTGTTGGTGAGGTACCACAACAATGGTAGTGCTAAGAATCAAATGTTTTTGTGTCTTAACTGTGTATTCCACATACTGGATCATACTGCGCGTAATACAGCCAGCTACTGAGAGTATGAAGGATCTGTTTTGTTCATGCATTTATTAGAAGCTGAAGATTCGTATTTCTTCTTCAGCAGGCAGATAACTTAAGCTTTTTGCTTTCAGCTTTTCTGAGAGTCAGAGAAGACAATTTATTTCTGATGTAAGAAGCTGTCACCACTAGCACTGTGTGCTCCTGTCACTCAGCAGAAAGGAGGCCTTCTCTGTAAACAAGAAAAAAAAAAAGGAAAAAAAAAAAGACCCATCCCAGCTGAATTATAACTCTTGGGCAACAGCTGCAAGAAAAAAGGTGCCTGTGACAAATGGACATCAGCTCTCAAGTTGTGTCCATCTCTCAGGCGTGGGGTACCGTCAGGAACGTGGCTGCGACACAGCTATGCATACAAAACTTGTTACAACTTCAGCCTGCTTTTGACTTTGAAAATTTAGCTCATGCATTTTCCTTTAACAGAGTACTGTTCATGAGTGTTCCTGTAGCTGAGAATAATACCACTGAGTCCAAGGTATGCCTCTGGAAGTCACATTTAAAAAATGTTTACATTCTTGCTGCTTATTTCCACAGATCCCTCAGCCAAAACACCACTAATAACAAGAACTTTTAATTTCACAGATGAAAGAACTTGGTGTCATCGTGTACAACTGCAGCTGCCTGGTCCTGGATTTACAAAGGATATTTGCCCTGTACAGTTCATTAAAATACAAGAATAAAATACCTCCAAGTTGGTCTAAGAGACTCTACGGGGTGTACGATACTCAAAACAAACTGACGCTGCAGCTGAATGAGACAAAATCAGAAGCTTTTGTGTCGGTAAGTTCTGAAATGAATTGCAGAGAGGGAGGGAAGGGGAAAGGATTATTTAATATGTAAACTACAGTGCCTCTTTACTGAAACAGAGGTGTTCAACAGTTCTCTGGATGAAGTCCAACACATGGCTGTGTTCTCCCTGACAGATAGCAGATGGTTTTATTTCCACAGTTCAGTACTTTGGCTTTTATATCTTCTATTTTATTTTCTAATGTTTTGTGGCTCTTTGAAAGCACCTGAATCTGTCTTCAGGAAAGCACATAAACCCTTTAGAAATTAACAGGACTACTGATGGAAATTACCATTAATATGAACTTATGTGGTGTAATTTAAGCTGGTAAGTAAGCACTTCTTTCAACTGACCCTAAGAGAAGAAAATGTGTATTACTGCTATGTACTTAGCTGCAAGCAGCTATTAACGCTGAGATGAGACTTGTGCAGATGACTGGAAACACAGATATAGAGATAAGACCACTATAGCTGTTATCTGTACCTCACTCTGTTGTCTGGGAAAGTGGTTATTTCAGTAGTTGAAAGGTTTTAAGAAAGTTTTATCTTTTCCTGTGCTGCAAAAGAAACTAATCACAGTATATTTTTACATTTTGATTTCTGTGAAATTGTTCTTATCTGCAATTTGCCATGACTGAAAACTGGTGCAGAATATGAGCAATATTCTTATTCTTTCCTCTGTAATTTTCACCACTTTTCTTCTTTCATCTAGAAAATGGTAGGGCTGACCTTCAAATTAGCTGATTTACTTAAAATGGTGGATACAAGGTGAATAGCTTGGAGTAAATGAATTCTTAATCAGGCATCCAAAATGTTGTATTATAAACTTAATGTCAGAGCTTGAATTTTTGTACATGATATTTATAAGGATCTTTGCTCTTCCCTTGAGACGTTCATGCTTCTGTAGAACATATCTACTTTTATTTTTAAATCATATTATCAAACATCTAAAATTCAAGTAGCATTCCCTGTGGATTCACTGCCTGTGTGTTTGTATTTTTAATGGGAAGAAATGGAACACTCATCCTTTTCAGAAGTGATGTAGCAAAACTGGAAAAAAGTACACAGATTGATACAGATATTGAAGGATCTTTCCTTTTGGACATTATTACATGAGTAAAATAAAACAGCCTTCATAATAGGAATAGACTGAAGATTTTAAGAGTTATTTTCCATTCTACATGAAGCAAGGGGCTGTTTTATAGCCAGCTAAGTCTAAAGCAACATGAAGTACGTAGCACTCAATTTTTATGAGCTACTAGCACTAGATGTTGATGCAGATGAGTAGTTAAATGGGAAAGGATTTACCTTCACCTGCTGGGAGCCAAGAAAGTTCAGGTGTCCAAGATTTTCAGACTTCTACAGTCACTGGAGAGACAGAGAGCTGTTCTGGAGTGAAACAAGTGATAATCTGAAGTGCCTAAGGCAGCCAGAACTAACAGTCTTCTGAGGAGACATATACTTCTATTGATTCTGGACAGTCTTAAGGACTGGCTCAAATAAGGAGAACTGACTTTAAGACAGCTGAGGAGCTGCAAAATGAATTCTACCTGAAGTCGTTGCTGTTATTAAAATTATGTGAACTCCTACTCTCTTCTTAGCAATCTGTAAGAAACTAAGAAATGCTGCTGGAAGCCTTTCCTAGAGGGGGCACACAGTCATGTGGCAAAGGCCATCCTTAAGGGGACCATTAATTCTAGAGCTCTTACAAGAACTATTCTTCTGCAGCTTGCAGAACATGCAATTCTTCCCTGTGATCTGCATTCTCTTTTTCTGTGGACAAAAAGGCCCTTATCTTGGAATTCCACTTCAGAAAACAAACAGAAAGGAGTTACAGTAGTCAGAAGCTTAGATCAGTAAGTCCAACTCTGGGAACTACCTGAATTTGTAGTCACAGCCTGTTTCGTTACTAGGTTATCCATCGTAAGAAAAATAACTTTTCTTCTGTGTGAGCAGGCTGCAAAGCAGACCTGAATTTAACTGAGCTACTTCCACATGCATTGTTCTGAGATATTGTTCTGGTGCAATAGCAAAAGTCTGCTCACAAGCTGTTAAAATTTTTTAGATCTGAATTTGCTCCCATGTATCTTCTCTGGGGCAAGAAGAGCAAAGCAGGGACATTCTTTATGACACTCACTGTCTATCACCAGCAAGTCATCCACTTCGAAACGGTCAGAGGCCTTGCTGGTATGAAGGGAGATGATGCCCATCACACTGCACTCAGGAAACACTTCTTCATTAGAAGAATGGGTATCCCCATTTCAGTGTAGTGCCTGTCTCTGTGCTTCCTTTCTCCTCAGTTAGGAAGATATAGGTGAGGGTAAGAGTTATACTATTGTTTTGTTTTAATCTACAAAGTTTGCTTGGTATGGTGAGGAAATTCTATCAATAGATTCAGTTCTTTCTTCCAGAAAACATGACTTTTCAATAAATTTCTCACCTACTAAAAAAATTCTCAAAAATTCGGCAGCTGGGTATCGGCATGCCCATCTGAAAGGCTGCCCTGGAGTTTTGTGGGTTTGGTGGAACCAAGTGTTACTACCTTGGCTATTCCTAAATTACCAAAAAGAACAGTCTGTAAGAGGCTGGGAGCTCACTTCCTCATTGCTGCCCTTCTCATGGGGCCTGCTTGTGCTTGCTGCAGGGATGTATCACACAGTGCTTGCTGTCTTGACAAAGTACTATCAACACTGAGGAAAGCACTAAAATACCCAGGATGACCAGAGGTCAGCCATACCAAGAGGTACCAAATGGAAGGCTAAAAAAAAAAGAAAAAGGACATTTAAAATGAGTGTTACAGGGAGAACAGAGGTTTTTCTTCTAAGTATCTTTGACTTCCTAGTCTTTTTAATGAAGGCATCTGAAAATGACAATGTGTAACAATTCCTTTGTTGTTCTGTGTGACTTACAACTTCTCTGCAAGAAAATATTGAGCATAAGAACAGTGCAACAGCCTCTTTAAATTTCAGATGATATAAATTATGTTTAACAAATTCATTTTACACCTTTTCTTGAGTCTAGACTTATTCCTTGAAAACGTATTTCACTTTCAACCTTTATGCTATATAAAACAACAAGCATAACACTAAGTCACTGAACTTTCCTTCTTATAGTCAGGAGTCATTGCTGTAATGTTTCTTAGCAACAAGATCATCTTCCAGACTGGTTGAAAAAACACATGTTCTGTTTGGTTTTCTTAGTATTCAAGAATGCATCTGGAATACTGGTCTTACAATTTTGCTACTGTTAATTTTCTAACGTTTTCCTAACTTCCTTATTTGTAAGAAGCCTTTTCACACCAATCAGTGACTAAGGCACTACCATCACTGTACACAGAAAGGGAAGGGAAAAAAAAACAACACCCCTAAAGAAAAAATAGACATGTAGCCTCGATGCCAGCCGAGCAGAAAACAAAGGAGAGATGGCACAGCAGCAGGAAAGCAGTGCATTGGCAAAACCAGCACTGCAGGAACTGGTACTTGCTCTAATTCTACAAATGCCTTTAGCAACTCCTGCTCACAGGCGCCATGAGCAGTTTAACAGATAGCTCCACCTCTTCTCTGCTGGGCAGAAGAGCAGTAGGCCCTGGCCTTTGTTGCAGGGGGGTGACTCTAGCAGGCTGTCACCTTCTGCATCTCCACACACAGACCAGAAAAGCTGAAATCCAGGCTTGCTACTTAACAGCTCAGTACCAGGTAAAACCTGAAGCCAGGTTTTAAAGATAAGCTTCTTGCAAAACTGCAGCATCTCCCTGCAACAGTGATTGAGTAAATGGTAACTTTATGGTCATTTAAAATGAGTAACATAACAGACTACTTTCTGGTAGTAAGTTATAGATTAGGTTCACAGATTTTACTCTATCTAACCAGTCCTTGGACTCCACAACAGATTTATATGAAATGTAACACCTTCAGCGAGAGCTTCAGAGAGGACAGTTTTCAAGCTTGTGCTGTCTATATTTTACCCAGCTGTATCTACCTGACAATGTTTTCAAGGAAAAAATAAGCCTTGAAAATTACTTTGTATGTTTCAGTATTCCAGCAGGACGGGTAAAGTTAACAGTCTCTACTGAAATTCAGAATATTGCTTACTACCTTAAGACATGTGAAGGGAGAAGAAAAGAATCTGTCCTTCTATTTTAAATGCAATATTTGAATTTTGCCTTCACAGAATTCACCTAAACTCTTCTGCCCAAAGGACAGAGTCCTGGATATTGAAGCTATATACAATGTTATCGATGATGCCAAACAGTTTGTATACATAGCTGTCATGGACTACTTGCCGATCGTCATTGACACAAATGCTAAACGGTGAGTGTCCATGTGCAGGGCTAGCATGCTATCACGATGCCATAAGGTCTGCTGGAGATCATGAACCCACAGGAGATTAGTTGCTATGTGGACCAATTTCTTGGGGCCCAATTCTGCTCTTATTGAAATCAGTGAGAGTTCTGCCATTGACTTAAATGGGAGCAGAATTGGGACCTAAGAAGACATTTCCAGTTCAGGGTCCTAAGCTTTGGATCTGCCTATCAAAGGAACTCAGAACTTGTTTAGTCAGACCATCTGCAAGTGACTGAGACCCAGGAGTACAAGAACCTACATTTCCACGAATCCTGTTCCTTACACTGTTATATCCACTGCTTTGATACTATAACTACACAGCTATTCAACAGGAGAGAGAGTGTATGTGCATGCAGGAGAGACAACGTGCTGAGTTCCCATGAAGCATGGGAGATGTCAGTTTTATGGAAATACACAGATACATTAAAAGTCTTTCCAAATTCAGCATAGATCACATTTTAAGTTGTATCATAATTGATAGGAGAAATGCTAAAAACAAAATCAAATCATTTTTAAACACAGTTTGTGTGAACCGTTAAAAAGTACCTATCACCCCAAACTGGAGCCACAATTTTATAAAACCATTCTACTCAGAAAACAAGTATCCAGTGATCCCTCAGAAACAGCTCCTATGAACAGAGCATCTCATTAAGCTTGCTGTTCTACCCACACACTTTGATCACCATTAGGCCAAATGTACTTTTTTCCAGTTTTGTATGAAGATATGTTTTGTTCAACATGTTCAGAAAAAAAAAGAAAAAAAAAAGTTTGGCTAATATACTGTGTAAACCATTTCAAATCCAGAAGAGGGTTTTTCAGATAAACTCATTACATACAGCTTCTCTCATGTCAATGGAATCCTGAGTACTGCAAGCTGCAGGAACTTCAATCTCACATCATCTATCCATCTGATCTCTCCTTAGATTGGAAAGGGTCTACATATGCAGAACTGCTGCAGTGTTGCACATGATGTTACTTTCTGTATTCCTCCCTTCTTTGTTCTCGTGCCTAAATAATCCAGAAATCTCTTGGATTCAGGCAGATCCAAGAAAGCCACCTGTGTTTTGCAACATTTTCTTTAGCACTCTGGCTTTGTATTCAAGGCATTGCCACAGCTTCCCTACCTGGTCAGCTTCCATTTTTTCACTTTTTTATTTTCTAGCATTACAGAAATCAGATTTTATTAGGTTGAATGTCTTGACACTGCTAGAACAAAAGTGTATTCTCTTTGTCTAATTTTCCTTGTCTTGATGTGCTTTCATCTTGGGAACACAAAGCTTGAACTAATGACAACAGGTATCTCTCTCACCAGCTGTAAGAATAGCACCATGGAGGCCAGCATCCTGTTTGTGACAGAAATTATCAGGAAAAAGCAGCATCCTCCTTTAACAATCCATCTCCTTCTGCTATTAAAGGATGTAGACACTATGCACAGCAGCAGCTCTCCTTTTCAAAGATGAACTTAACACAAGGTCTCTATTCCTCTTCCTGTAAGAGAGGGAGGAGGAGGGAGAGCATGGCAAAGATTTCATTGTCCCTGTTCCCTTACACCTGCAACCAGCAGAAAATCCTTCCTGTTCCTCTGCCTGGGCTAGGTAAGCAGCACCCTCTAGCTGTAGCTCCTACTACTCACTACAGGCAGTGATGCAGGAGCAACTGGCACAGCTATGGGCCAACACATCCCCACCTGCACTGCTCCATGCCATGGCAGGGCAGAGTGACATGGAACAGGATGCTGGCTGATCTTCTCAGTGAGAACTCTTGCAGATGAGATGAGAGCAGCGCTCCTTAAGCAGGAAATTAAACTCACATGTGTTTATGATGTCTTCTATGCTTGGCTGCCTAAAAATTTTTTTTTCTTTTTTTTTTTAATCCACAGATACTGGCCATTTCTAGATGGGAAGATAAGAGAAGCGTTAGTTTTACGAAGTATTAAAGTACGACTCCTCATAAGTTTCTCAAGAGACACAGATCCCCTTACTTTCAACTTTGTTTCATCTCTCAAAGCTATCTGCACTGAAGTTCCAAGCTGTAGTTTGAAAGTTGTAAGTATAAACAGTATTCCTTCTTTGAAACCTATTTATTCTCCCCGCCCTGTCCTGAAAAAAATGAAGAAAATTTCACAACAGAGAAGTGGTCTTCATTAGTACCAAAGCCTTTGAATGCCATTAAAGAACAAAGGAAGTGGATGAGGGCTACCCTGAAAGTAATGCCTCCTATGTTACTATGTTGGCCCACAACATCAGAGGCAGATGGTGGTGGTACTGCAGCAGAGGCTGAACCTTCCCACCGATATTCCATTACATGTTGTAGCTGTGTGGCAGATGGCAGCAGAGAAGCACTCTGACACAGTGGCATCTGACATGGAAAAGCATATGAAGCAAGGGTGTTGGATTCAATTCCTCCATGCAGAAAAAATGGCACCCACTGACATTCACCAATGTTTGCTGAATGTTGATGGAGATCAAACAGTGGACTGGTGCAGATTTTTACAAGTGCAGCATGCAGGCTCTTGTTCACCACTGGCAAAAATGCACAGCTAAGCTAATGGTGGTGACTGTGTTGAAAAACTGTTCGTAGATGAGAATTCGTTTTATCAACTGGTGTTACTGTGCTCTTTGTGCCTATTGTAGTTCCCATGGAAATAAGTAATAGACATTACTTTTGGAGCAGCCTACATAATATAGTAAACTAAATTTATTCCTAGTAGTAACAGACATTGAAATTAAGAGAGAAAAACAGAATGATGCCAAAAGGCAGTCTGTGTGGGGGACAGCTTGCATAAAACACTGCATCTGGTCTTTCACAGCAAAGCTAACCAAGGCAACTGGAGCCTTATGGCTGGTAAATGTGACAGCACGAATGTCTTTTAGTCTGGATTTGTGCAACCTTACTGTTCAACTGCTTATGCACAGCTTTTTGTTTATTAATTACAAAGTACAAGAAAAAATAATGGCCACCCAGAGACGGGAGGGTGTCCAATCCATGGAGGTGCTCAAAGCCAGGTTGGCTGGGGCCCTGGGCAGCCCAACCTGGTGGAGGGCAGCCCTGCTCACAGCACAGGGCTGGGGCTGGGTGAGCTTTGAGTTCCCTTCCAACCAAAACTATTCTATGACTCCATGAATTACAGAAAAAAAAAAAAAAAGTACTGTTTGTGTTTCACATGTTATGTGGGATCTATTATATGTATCTAAAAATAGAGATTTTTGCTATAAAAGGCACTGTTATTTCTTAAGTGAGAAGCAGCATAAAGTGTATTTTGGAGACCAACAAAACATATACAAATGACATGGCTTAAGCCACTTCTATTTTCATTAACTTCTAACTTGTTCCATCTTTAGCACGAAAATTCTATATATGTTTTATTGAAGTGAAGTGGCACCAAATGCTGTACATACTTGTACCTATTTCCATCTACTCAGAATAGGTAAAATCTTTAGCACAAAATTTATTCTGTGAAGAGCTGAATGATAGGAGAAAAAAAAAAAGATTCCTAGACATCTCTTCTAGTTAGATATCCTAGCCAGAGTATGTGTAGTTAAAACAGAAATATAACAATCTCCAAAAAAAGCTCCAGGCACAGCACAGCTCAGTTACCTCTGCAGTGTGTACCAGACGTGCTGCACTGTTCAAGTCCCTGCCTTGACAAAAACAAAAGAAAAACGAATTTGGTGTGAGTAATAGCCTAGGGCTCAGAGTTTGCTGGTATCCATTTGATTTTAGCTGAACTGTACCTCAGGCTTCACCACGACATGTATCTGATTCACAAAACATGAGAGATGAGCACTGTTTTTCTTAAAATGTATATCCTTTGTATTCATCTGTTCTAACTAGGATCAAAGCGTAATAATGCATGTGCATGGGGGAAGGGAACACAAAACTCTACAGAAACTACTGTCATGTGCAGACATGTACAGTATAGGCTTATATAGAAGAATGCTGCAATTTTAAGAGAAACTTAAATTACAGGCTGATTGAAAATGTACTTAAACCACTAACCAATGCTAATGTCTTAATAGTATTCTGACCAAAATCATACCCTCCCATCTTCTGTTCTCTTGGGAATAGCATACCTGAGTCCTACACAACGTGCATTTAGGGACTTTTTCCCATTAAATTCTGCTCCCTTGACTTGTTTTTTAATTCTTCTGGAAAGAGCAACAAAGCCTGGGGGGTTCCACCAGGGTGCCCATGGCTTGGCTTGCTACAGCTGCAGAGCACACTGCAGTTTTTTGCCAAAAGCAGCAGCCCAAGGTATTCGGTCACCTTGGAGCAGGCAGCACAGATGTAATTTTTCCATTAGAGAGGAACCTCCTGGCTTCCTGTGGCCGCTGACCAGACTAGTGCAAGTTTTGGTACAAACACTCAGTTAAAAACCAGGGCTCTGCAAACCTGCTGTATGCAGCAGTGCCCTTAGCAAGAACAACAAGCAGTCATTTTGCAGTCTGATGGGGACATCAGTAAGGCAGCAGACTGCAAGACAATTTCCCTGTTGCAAACACTGAATTTCAACAGCATTCTCTGTCTAGAAACAATTTTTTATCTTTTGCCACAAAACTTCCTGACATTGCTTTGAGTGTGTAAACTCAATGCACATACTGTGGGGAAAAAAACAAAACCAAAAAAAAAACCAGGAAGAATTCATGAGGAAGAAGCTTTGCTTAGGGACAAAAAAGGAGCACATAGCTCCTTTTACACCAAGGTAAGCTGCCACCAAACTGCTGCTCCTTCAGGCACCTCTGTCCCGCTCCCCACATTGTACCAAATGTGATTGTGAAAGTAAAGCTTGAATCATAAAGAGTGAAGCCCAGGTGAAGAGTTTGCTGGTGTGCCTCTTTGACCTGTCATTAAGTACTGTACTTAAGTTTTGCATGCTTGATATTCTGAGTACATCCTACAATGCAAGAATGCATGCTCTAACACTCAAAGGAGCTTTAGAAGAGACCCAGTACTGTTGGTTACTATGCTAAACACAGGCAGGTGCATGCTTTCTGAAGCTTCACTGAAAGTAACTAGATGTGATACAAGAGAACTAGAGCCTAGGAAGGAAAGCTGTGGAGTAGAATACAGATCTACAGCACCAACTGTCTGCTAAGGTAAGGGGCAGGAAAAAACAGAACCTTTCAACGATTTTCCAGAAACATCAAAATAGAGCTGCCCTATGAGTCAAAAAAATGTTGTGCATTAACTATGAAACTTTTACTCTTAAGCACCAATTTTATTTTAAAGTTTCAAACTCCTAAAATAAGGATTGAAACAATGAATGAAATCCTAGCAAAAGGTGTTGTTATTAACATAGTTTTTCTGGTGAAGGTAGGCTAAGAGAATGCTAATCTAGCTACTTAATGCTGGTGATGGTGTACTTGCTTAGCTAAGGCAAATTTCTGTATTCTGTTTGTGAGCACAGATGCAGCTCCCTGCTGGTATCTATACTGACAAGGAATGACTTGTCAGCTGTTGCAGGAGAACACATTACGTATTCAGTCATCCTATCTTTTCCTGCCTGAAGCTGAAATTTTCTCTTGTGCAAGCATATACAAACAGGAAACTAGCATACAATTTCTCAGTTTGCACATCTGTTGAACATATCTCAGTTTGACAATTCTAAGCTGGTACGATGATTGTGTTTGGCTATTTTTGTGTCAAGATACATAATTTTTTGTTAAGTATCATAACCCTGGGAAGAGAGCTTGTCATGTTTTGGTTCCTGGCATTGAATACTTCCCCCACGCACAATTTCTAGACTAGTTCCTACAACAAAAGTTAGTTATGCAGTGGTTTGCTTTATTTTCCAAATCACTGGGAAGAGTTAATGCAAATACCCTTGAAGGACACCTTATGGCTGCTAACCATCTCTGTTCCTGTTTTACTGTGCAAAGAAAGAGCTGTTCTTCTGACTTTATCCACAAACATGAGGCATTTCAGAATGATTCAGATCCATCTCCTACTTGCTAAGTACACACTTTCTGTTGTGGGTGCATGCTTGTGTAGGGATTCCTCAGGCAATCAGAGCAGAGGCAACATACAACTGGTTACCTTCATCAATAACGTATTGTGAATTACACTTCTTTTGAGATTCTACACCATCACATCAAAGTTTCCAAGTCATGCAGTAAATATTTGATTTCTACTTCCCTATGTTAATCTCCATTTCTATTTTTGGAATCTGTGTCTAGCTATTAGCTTCCTTCATAAAAAAACAATACATGGTATTGTACTGAAAATCTCATTTTTGTCTGGCACTAAACCAAGTAAGGAAAACATACAGCTCCTCAAAACAAATCAGACAATCGCTTTCTGGGTAAAACAGATGCATTTTTCTCTTGTCTGGTAAATTTCTATCTTTGCCTATCAGATTTTTCGTGAAGTGTTTCTGAGATCAGCAGGTTTCCTTCTGGAAACTATGCAACATCTAAGGTAAAAATATGAATTCAACTTGTTGGCGTACCTGGAAATGTGTATCCTGAAGCAACCTTCAAATGCCAGGATTCCTTGATGAAAAGGGAAATGAGCTCAAGTTTCTGGCTCTCATTATGCAGAAGACAACAATTTTGCACTGCTTTTTTTGCTGTTCATTTCACAGCCATTATTATGCAGCATTTTGTCACATCTAATATGCAGTAGCCATCTACTTTGTATGCTTCACAATGCAAAGGAATACTAAGTACCACAGTGAGAATTCAGTATGTAATACAATGTGCAGTGTTCTATTAAAGCTAATGCTTGCCTGTGAACTTGAGCTGTTCTACAGCACAAACTTGTTTTCAATAAGAAGAAGAAGAGCAAACTATTTTGTTTTAATCCATGACAGAATGGTTCCTATTGACCTTAACTTCATTTTTTTTATGACAGAAATTCTTTGACCTTGAGGAAGAGAGTGCGTGCTTTCTCAAAGATCAGAAGAACACTTCACTTCCAAAACTAAACCGTAACAAATACATGGTGACTGATGGAGCTGCATACATTGGTAAGCAACCATCTCTCCAGCCATTCTAACTTGTAGCCATCAAGCTTGAAATAACACCCATTTATAAACAAGGAATCTACAGCTGATTTACTCATTAATTAAATTACTGGTGTAATTTCTTTGGGAACCTGAATGAAGATAGCTTTGAATTTCTTATTTAAAACCTCTTAAATTTCTTTTTTCCTATGAATCAGTTTCTCAAAAGTAGTATGATGTTTTCAGAATTTAAAAAACAGACAGAAAATACGAATACAATAATTCATGAAATAGGAATAAATATGACTAACATACTGTTTCCACAATCAACAAAGGTGGATTGCTCTTCATTTCCCACATCACAGAATCATAGAGTGGTTTGGGCTGGAAGGGACCTTTAAGGTCACTTAGTTCCAGCCCCCCCTGCTATAAAGCAGGGACACCTACCCCAGACCAGGCTGCTCAAAGCTCCATCCAGACTGGTCATAAACACTTCTGGACCTCCCACACTCCCTCCTGGCAACCTGCTCCAGTGTCTGACCGCCCTCACAGTAAAGAATTTCTTCCTAATATCTAGTCTAAATCTACTGTCTTTCAGTTTTAAATCATTTCCCCTTGTCCTGTTGCTACCTGCCCTTATAAAAAGTTCTTCCCTAGCTTTCCTGTAGGCCATTAAAATACACTATGATACATGATTACTAAACTGATAGTCAATTCTACTAAATACTCTACACCCAGCTGTCATCCTCCCCTTCTGACACCTCATTCCATTTAACTATACTGACATCTCAGACATTCTCTTTCTTTTCATCATTAGATATATGTCTAATTGGTATTTTGGGTTGAAGGTACACTTAAATACTAAGTCTCTGCATGGCACCTAGAAAATTTCACTATCAAATGCTCACTATATGCATGATAAAAAACTATCTTTAACAAAATAATAAAACTGATAGAGATGTGCTTCAGCTGCAGGACCAAAAACAGCTACTGAATTAAAAATTAAGTAACAAGATTTCTGAAGGGTATGCACTGATGCACACAATGTGCACACACAGCCTTCTCAATCTATCCAATTCTTACTTTTCACTTCAAATAGCTGAGCTTACCCTCTTCTCCCCTCCCAAACATTGTATGAGCTTCCTATTCATCTTTTCTACTCCATTTTAAATTCTTTCCAATACCCAAGTAAAATTTCAGTGCCTTGTAGCATGGGTTCTAAGCCTTTTGGTGGGATTTAGTTTTCTTTTAGTCTTTTCCATATCTGTATTTTCATTGCTACAGATACACACACACATATACACACACAAACACACACAGATTTACAGACAAAGAAATATACAACTAAATCTGTGCCACAGTAATGTTAATGACCTGATATATCCTTTCCTTGAAAGCACTGGAAGAACGATTCCTCACAATGAGGTGTCAATTTTCCATTCTTGACAATTTCAGAATTCTTAACATTTCTTATTGAAGCAGCTAAAATAACTCCCAAGAAAGGATGTAAGTTTCTCAGACACCTCAGAACTTTGCATGTGCATCTTTAGACAGACTTTTTTAAAATATGGCCTCTAATAACTGCATTTCTCTCCAAAATACTCCATCTGATCTAAATGTAGATCTTAAGGATTTATGGGTTCTAGTGAAATAGTTGGATTACCTGTTTTCCATGAATGCAGCTATCCTCTCTGCTATCACCAAGATCTGTGATACTCTGTAGCATTACCTTAGACTTTGACAAAGGTGGTAAGAACTGGAATAAAACATAAAATCCTGTTTTAGTTTTCAGAAGTAGTTGTCAATGGGTAACCTAAAGATGCTTTGGTTCACCATTATGGAGCAACCACTATCTATCACATCAGCTTGCTTATAAGGCCCAAACATATTTTAATTCTTGGCACTGAAAAGGTTGATCTCACACACACGCATACATTATATATGAAAAGCAAGAGCAAATTAATTTTGAATAAATAACTTGTTCTCACTTGTTGTGTATTCCTGCCTTTACTCGTAGGTAATTTTGATTGGGTAGGAAATGCTTTTACGCAGAACGCTGGAGCAGGCCTCGTTATCAACCAAGCAGACGCGGGGAACAGCACAAGCATCATAAAGCAACTCAAGGCTGTTTTTGAAAGAGACTGGTATTCACATTATGCCAAAAGTTTACAACCAACAAAAATGCCAAACTGCTTTAATCACAAACTCAGTAAAGCAACATCAAATAAGACTGCCATGAGCAATGTGAACTAGAGAGACTATTTTACTGTTTAGTATGGCAATGAAGAATTAAACTGGGGTGTAGCCCTCTTTCATATTTACAGATAAAAGACTTCAGCAAAAAAAAAAAAAAGTTTGGTTCGGGGGGGGATTGTTTTTAGGAAAAAGCACACTTATATAAAAATTGTCTAAAATATATCTCTGTTGATTTGGAACTTTCAAGGTTTGTTACTTCTGACACTGAATGTCATTTCTGCTTTCATGTTAATTTTTATGTTCCTCATTTGAACTTAACTGAAACAGAAGAATTGACTCATGCTGTTTTAAGAATTTCCCTAATTGCCATCCAGGCTAGAACAAACCCTTGGCAGAACTGAGATCCTGGCTATGAAATGGCATTCTAAGATCAGTTACTGTTGATGTACAAGTAGTGGTAGGTTTACTGTATTAGAAAAGACTGCAGAATAAGGATATATTCACCTAAATAATTCCCTCTAAATAAACATCCGGTCATACAAGTTTTTCCTAGTTTTCAGCATTTAGTGTGAGCATCACTCTTGTGTATTTTCTATATAGCCTTAAATTACATTTGAGTTCTGTAACTGGTAACTTACTCATCTCTAAAGGGACAAGGGTTTTGAGGGATTAAGATTGACCCAATCAAATTCATTAGAATCCCTGGAACCTCTCAGTTAAATCAATCTTCATTAATATAACGTGGATTTCTTTCAACGTAACTGTTATTTATAATTACAATAGTATATAACAATGTAAATCTCTTCAGTAAAAGCAAAGATCGAGGATTGATTTTTCTTGCAATCCCAAGAAAGAATTTTACTGAGATATTCATCAAGTGCAGATCAGCAGTTGCTTGCTGACTCATTTTTAGATAACTATATGTATACAATTTTTTAAAAATTTTTTTTAGGATACTAAAAGGTTCTGCAAAAAATGCAAAAATTGTTTAATTTCATACTTTTTTTTCCCTTCATATCAATAAAAAAATGCGAAATGGCATTTTTTTTCTTAAATGTCATCCATATAGATGAATATATCAGTCTACAGAAATGAGATGCTTTCATTTAGGCCCCAGTTTCAGCTGGCATTAATGGTGTCCCTCTACAACCATGACGCAGCTGCACTAAGATGCAACTGTTCTGTAAAAGTGTGAATTTGCTCTTTAAAAAAAGATTTAATGTGTTACAACGATTTTCTCCAGCCCCATAATAGCTTAGTTTCTTAACGAAAATCCCCATCTTCTGCTGAAGGAATCTAGCTGCAAAAGCAAACTGCGTTCTTCATTTTGTTGAAAACGTACTGTATTCAAAATGCAGACTGTTCTTACCATGCTGAAGATTACAGAAGGGACAATCTGAATGAAAGTTGTGCATTAACTGCAAAGAAGTGTCTCAAAGGATTACTTTCACCTTAAGAACAAATTAATTAAAAAGACACCCTGACTCAGAATGCAGGTTTCATTTACAAGCTTTAAAGAAAAAGAAAAAAAAAAAAACTGTTATCTTGAAGTAAGCACAGTTTTTGAATCAGCACCTTTTTAGAATTTCCTAATGTCATTTTCTGACAGTTGCCCACTGGAGAGAGAGGAACACACCATGAAACTAGTTGTGACTGACAAAAGCACGCTTCTCATAAACGCTGTTTGTTTTGCCATTTCCCAGTTGTACATCACCTTACTGAAAATAATTCTATTAATTGTCAACTTTTACAGAAAAAACTGTGCGGAGCTCTAATGCTCAAGAACATTTTGTAACATTCAGGCAAACCGTGCAATTTATTAGCCTTCACATATGCAGAGAAGAGCATATACTCTGACACTCATTTAAGAAACAAAGAAAAGTAATTTGAAGAGAGAAAAGTTACCTGAGTTGCTTTGAAGGAAAAGTCTTTGCGAAGAAAAACTTTCGTATTTCCTTCTTCTGTATATAACTTCAGCATATGTATAGCAGGCATGGTAGAGATCCCCAGCACTTAATTAACAGTGTTTTTTCTATTATTATTAAATAAAGATTAGTCCAGATTCATCTCTGGTGAAACTCTTACCACTCAGCTAAGTTATATCACCAATGAATTTTGTCTTCTGAGTCAAAGGGGAAAAAAAAAAAAAAAATCAAAAACATTTTAAAAAGCAGGTTGCAATACTTGTAAATTTTCTGAGAGATTAAGTCCCCATGGATGGGTAATCTTAAAGCTCAAGATAAATTTAATACTGAGTCTTCAGAAAAAGGGAAAAAAAAACCTACACAGAACCCCTTCTCCCCACTGTCCAGAGCTGGTAGCTGTAGCACCTGATGGCAATAATATTCAAGAAAAATTCATGTAGTATTTTCTCCCTCACATTATGTACACTAACAATGTCTTAAGTTTTTGAAATGGCGTTTTGTACATGTAATGAACAATCTCAGTGAAAGAGACATTTGTCAAATCTGTCTCTTCTGATTTAGCATTTAGTGATGAGACAACTGAGTTACCACTGACCTTTTATTCAGTATACCAAATGAATGATTCAAATGTAGTAGTTTCATCGGACAGATCCTAGGGAAATACAATCCTGAGCATTAACTGGGTCCATCTGTTTACAAATACATTCTTACTGACTTGATGAACAAATTCTGATGCTTCAATGACCCCCACCAAATGTAGTAGTATATTCTGTTTTTATGATGGAAGGGGTCTGGTTTTCTCTGAGCAACTCTAATGCAAAATAGTGTCAGCCATCCCACAGCCAGACTGGCAGGCTCAAGTTTCATTTGGTATAAAGCACAGGTTGGTGGTTAATAGCTGTTTGGAATGACAGCAGCTCCAAAGCAGCACAGAAGGCTTTGGTCTGTTACATTAGCCAGAAGACAAAGTGCATCCTCGGACTTCAGAAAGTAAGAAATTAAGGAGAAAACAAACAGACAAAAAAAAATCATACAAACATTACTCTTTTTATAGCTGTTGCAGCCAATTATTTGTTTCTGACTAGCGTTGTTCCTGCTTAACTAGATTTGCCACAGCAGCCTCAACTGTGGCTTCAGCTCCTTCTGCCAACGTAGATAATTCTTTAACAAATCTATTTCACATTAAGTTAGCAGAGATCTGTCTAGGCCAGTTACCTCTTGCTTCAGCTCTTCTGAATATCACCACTGCACAATCTCCAAACCTACAGGAATGTCCATTCAGTAGTGTCTCACAGACCTCAGAGACATAATCCGAAAGATGCACTTTCTCTATTCCCCTTCTAGCTGGCATTGGTAACTCTGTCATATTACAAGCAATTTCCTAAAGAGAATAGCTTTATTCTTAAGGAATACAGACTGTAATTGTTGTTTGCTGCATTGACTAGTGCCTTACTCATAGTTTTTGTTTAACTGTTCTTCAAGCGGAGTCCTGCTAAGATCTTGTATCTGGTTCTGAGGCATACAGCAAGCCTCCTAAGCAAGACAACTACACATTGTGATGTTTACAGGTTAGTACCTGACATTAAAGTCACAAAAAGACAAAAACTGTATATGCGATCTTGGTCCAAATGTCAAGATGTAATTCCAAGAATTTTTATCCCAGCCCAGTTTTAAAACTGAATTCCGCAAACTACTCCTGCATTTGTTATCAACTAACCCACAAAACAATCAAAGCAGTGCATGCTGCTGAAGTATAAAAACAAGTAAGTGAAATCAAAATTCTCCCAACACGTGGCTGACAGCAAAACTTCACAGCAGGAATTCATTTAAAGTACAGGGGGAAGTCCAACACAGTGGTTATTTCACAAGTCTCACATGTTACAGCTCAAATAGTTTTGGGCAGGACACTGCTTTTTTTCTGCCTCTCGCATGTAATCTTATTTATCATGCTACAAACCAGGGACCAAATAGTTAGTTACTGGGGGCTTGGTTGTTGGGGATCTGTTTGGGTGTATCAAAGAAAGATGTTCTTCTGTTTTTGATACCAGTGAAAAAAATGCAAAAGACTGGGCACTTACTTAACTATTGCCCTGAACAAGTATCTACAGCTACTCTTTCTTTCTAGTCTTTCTTTCCAAAGACCAGTAAAGCACATATTACATGCCACCACACAATGGCTACAGCTGTATCCTGACTAGAAAAGATTTAAGTAAGTTTCTGTCTGATTTACTTTTTTTTGTAAGTAATGCATCTTTGAACTGAATTGGCTGGCCTTGCTTTGCAATGTTTTACAAAAGTCAGGGCCCAGTATTCCTTCTAATAAACTCAGACTGTGAACACAGCTGAGGGGAAAGCCTGAAAATGACTAAAAATGCTCAGAATTCTACTCTTAAGAGATAAGAGAAAGATGATGCAAAGAGTGGTCTTTGCATTCTACTAACCATCTAAATTCTTTCTACTACTTCACTGAGTATTGCATACATAAAAACTGTTACCTACCGTTTCATCCTAATCCAAGGAGAAATCCAGACAGAATTTCTATGTTGGTTTTTTGGGTGTTTTTTTTGTGACTTTACTGTGTACTTCCTGAAAACAGCACAGACTTCCAATAAGATGGTAAAAACATCAGCTGGCTATACCAGATTTTCAAATTGAAGTCCTTTACAAATATCTTCCTCTTGAGCATCATGTACTTGACTCCTGAGAATGGCCTTAGAGAGAGTTGTAAGCTACCATTTTGGACTTCAAAATTAACCCTTTATTTCAATACAAAAATATCAGCTACACCTATTGTATGTTTACAGATGGTAACTTTTGACACTGTTTTACTTCCACTTCTATCCTTTCTATACATATGTACTCACATTTGCTCACTTGACCAATTTAATCTACTGTTAAGAGAATGAATCCTTGGTGTATTTTAAGTTCATAGTGACACCTTCTGAGTTGAATACACCATTGAACATGTTCCACTTACAACACCACACACTATAGTAGCTCAGCAGTTACTTTACACAGAATGCTTTTTTCACCTGTAATTTTTCCACTACAAATACTGCTGAATATTACTTAGATATTTCTCAGTGTTGAATCAGGTAGCTTTTGCATCATTACTTCTCACAGATGCCTTAGAAGCTTGCCGAACTAGCATGTAGAAGAGAGAGACCTCATACAAAACAGTTTAGACAATGAAAGGAACTCACATGCTTTACAATGTGCGGATGCTGGAGTCAGCAGGTGAACTCTAGTCTTGTAATAGTCACGGAGCTGCATGTCTGAACACATTAAGCTTCCCTTTAAGAAGAAAATAAGGTTAATGGCTGACTGAAGTTACAGAATAAAAGAGAATATGGCAAAACAGTTCACTATTGTAGCATTCCAGGGGATTATTTAGTGCTCATACTGAAAAGTTTTACGTTACATGGCCACAAATGTGTATAACGTAGAGTATCTGCATCATGAACACATACTGGACATTGTATCTTACAAAGTAATTCATAGCAGTCCCATCCTCAAACAGGTTTACATGCTATCTGGGTAGAAAGGAAGGAAAAATAGCCACAGAGTCAAAGCAACTTGAATCAGACTGGATTAACAGACTGGATGCTGTCCTAAAGGCTCTGGGCTAAGTTCTTGTTTTGTTTCTTTCCCTGCAAAATCCTGCATTTCTTAGGCACCTGCCGTTCTCTTCTTCAGGAGAGTTCCCTGAACAATTCTGGAAATGATTATTTCCAGAATGAGAAGGAAAACTTCAACAATTACAAAATTTATTTGCATAACAGAAAGCAAAGAAATCAGCATGAATAAGAGACCACTGAATTCTCCTTAGCGGGTACTGAGAAGTAAAGCAATATTAGAAATAGAACTTTTTCTGGTACATTACACTTCTTTAGTGCTATATAAACAAAGGACTTCAACATAGCAAACACCTCCAGACATAGTATCATATGTCATATTTCAGTATGTTCTCACATAGTACAAATACAGTCAAGTTGGGCAGATACCATTCTGAACTAACAAACCAGTGAAAGCACAAGCATCAGCTCAAACATGACTACTCAAGTATACATATGTATAACTATTATTTTTTTTTTTAAACCATTTAAAGCATTTAAACAAAAATGCTACCTAGATAAAGTTTCCAACTCAGAAGCTGGAAATACGTTTTCAAATTGTAACCTTAAGGAGATTCCTGGGATCTTCATGGGGAAATAACTTCATTTTAAAGATTAAAGGCACACAACATTATATGTAGCACTGTCTGAACAAGACAGTATGTAACGCATATAATGAGAAACTCTTGAAATGGAAGTGTGTGGAGCCACAGTTTAATGAGTGACTTGCTAACAAAATTTTCCTAGTAAGATTTCCTTCTATCACTCCACTTTATTCCTCATTTGCAACTCCTCAAGCGATAGTGTACCTGTATTTTTGGGTTTTTTTTTGAAACTTGAGAACCCTAAGAGAAAAGCAGGATGCTTCTGGAAGCAACAACTGTTTCTTTCTAAAGGTTGAGGAGCCGATATCACTTGCCCTCTCACTGTTTCCTTCTCCTTCAGCAGCACATTCCAGGTTTTCCACTTGTGACTGCCCAAGGAGCAAAGGAAAAGAACACTTCTACTTACCTGCTTCATATGAAAACCATGGGCCGCTCAGCAAGCTTTTGCCCTTTCAGAGAGCCCTTACCTAAAATAATACTAGGGAAAGCATAATAAAGGAACATAAAGACACGAGGAAGGTATGTTCACCTGGAGAAATATACATACAGAAAGGTGGGAGGGGAAATAAAGAACGGAAGAAAAAAAATCTGGCAAGTTTTAAATGATGTAGAGGTTCTGCTGAAAGCCTTCTTATAGCCTCATTTTGTTCTAAATTTTTTTTTACTTTTTTATTTTTTTTTATACCATGCAGCCAGATTTTAATGACTGAAATTTGCTGTTAAGTACAATAAGGAGAGAGGATCCTTGTCTTTAGGAACTGAATTCATTTCTTCACTTTGAGAGAAAGGTGAAAGAGGCAGGTAAGAGTGGAAAGTATACTTTTTCTTCTTTCCAAGGAATAGTTCAGTGGTTTGTATAGGCAAAAATAATAAGGTTTCTAGAAAATGCAAAGGTCCTACCCATCCAGATTCTATTCATACTCAAAAGGTGACACATACCTTGTGGGAACTTGGGGCTCACAACAAAGTACAATCTGTTCCACTTCCAGGAGAGCACCATACTAAAAGCAGCTGGAGCACCTGCTTCTAGCCATCTGCAAGTGCTTTAAATAAACTCCCAGGCAAGACTGAAGGCATTTTCCCTGTGGAAAGAACAAAGAATGGCAGATTTAGCGAGAAACATAAAGAACCTAATGCAAATATTAAAATGCCTAAGAAGTCAGGATCAAAATAAGCACATTCTCATTTTTGCCAATATTAAAAAAAAAAAAAAAAAAAAAACAAGAACTGGAAGAGGACTGGGAGGCCAGCACAGTACCCCAGATTAATAAAATTAACATTTCAAAATAAGCAAGCCATTAGATTTGTGGACAGTCCCCACATGTAAACTGCTGCTCTGAATACTAAGAGAGTGAAGAGTCTGTGCACCTCTAGCTTTGATGCACTGCCCAAAGTTTTGGCACTAGAGGTCTGATGGTCCACCTGTGAAAGTTTATAGCTTAGAAGTAGGCAAAAAAAGGTTTCTATGTGTATTTATACAAATGTTTATACATTTATACCCTACTGCCAGGGTATAGTCACTATAAAAAGAAAAACAGGTCACTTCTGACAGACCTCTGATGTCAACAAAGAAATCTCAAGTCTGCAGAAAGCAGAAAAAAAATATTTACAGCAGCACACCAACTAGAATACACTTTAAACCCATTTTCCAATTGACAGGTAGCTAATACAATAAAGAGTTCAGAATGCCCCCACATCCATCTCAGATTCCAAATGTCCTGACGTGGAGTTGAGGCTCCACACACACACAAACGCTCAGAGCTACATCCTCATAGGAGAAATGGGTACATCAGAAGAGCTAGAAACATCTCTAGTTCAGTGACTGTTTCACTGTTGTCCTATTGCAAGGCTGATAGGAAACAGCACATCCCTGACTGGGAAGGGCTGCATGTCCTCTTCTGGGAAACAAGAATAGAATATGCACGCAGAGACTATAGATAAAAAACTACAGAAGTAAACTGTCCACAGCATAGAAATACATTAACATAACAGATTCCAATAGCACAAACCAAAGCCGTCTACTCATCTTTTCACTCCCACATACATGTGTGCCAAAGCTTATTTTAAAAAAAAAAACAAAGGGCAATGCTAATCTTTCAAATAAACACTACAGGGAGGATTACACTTTCCTTTCCCTCCCCCCCAGCTACCATTGCCCCCAGTTCTTCCTGTTCTCTTTCCACACCTTTTTTCCATCAGACAGTGTTTCTGCTACCTCCTCCTCTGCCTCTTGTCTGGCTTTCCCACCCCCCCCATTATTGAGCTGTTATTTCTTACATGCTGTTTATGCAGGACTCCTTTGCTATTTTGTACAAAGCGATGAATCCCTGCAGCTTGCATCTGGGATGCTGTGACATCCTCCATCATTACCTCTGCTAGCTTTACCTGAAGTGCCAAGAGAAAGGAGATAGATGTACATGTTGTTTAAAGAAAACATTTTTATTTTAGTTTTACTACACACAAAGACAAGGAAAGCAGAATAAAATACCTGAAAAGAGGAAGGGTTTTAGTTCATAACCTTCACTCCAGTTTAACCTTGGTCAAGGCCTGTTATCAGCATCAAAGCTCACACAACTTTACCACAAAGCTTTGCCTCCAAACCTGTTGCTCACTGCTGTCCTGAGTCCCACACCAGGTGAAGCTGCCAAGCTGTGCAGATCAAGCAAGGCAAAACTACGCACAGCAGCAAGCTCCACAGCCCCCACTTTCCCCAACAGATTCCCTGCAGCCATAGAAAGGTCTAACCTAGGTACTGTCATCTTGCAATAGATGACGAACAGTTCAAGCTCACCATTATATATGCAAACACTGCCTTCAAGAAAGTAAATGGAAAAAAAGAAAATTTCCCTGTGGGTGTGATTTTGGCACTGCATTCTATTATATTTCCCTACACAAGCTGAGAGTAACAGGAGTCTTTCATCAAGTTTGCAGGGCAGAGAGGACATGTACTATACAAGTTTATTACTATGCCTCCTCTATCAAATAGAAAAATCTGTCTAAACTTATTTTGAAAACTGCATGGCCAGCTTATGCAGTAGTTAGATACGTGGCAAGGTTGCAGTATTACTCTCTAAGGAGAATACAGTAAATGTGCTTATATATTTTGTTAATTCAAGCATCGTGTGGTCTCCAAGCTCTTCTATGAGAAGTATGGATAACTCCTCATCATGCCTTCCTATTTCAGAACACAGTATTTATCACAGATGTGTACAATACAGTGGCATAGCTTAGGCCTGTTATATAGGTCAGTACCTGCAATGCACATGAGAACATAGTCTGCCTCCGCAAAGGAGAGTGGCTGCAAAATCTATTTTGGATAACCCAATTTGTATTTAAGGAAATCAACGTGTGGTCATTTCTAGAACTGTGAATAAGGCAACTGCTGCATGCTTATATATTTGATAAGTTTTATTATAATATATCCTTATATGAATGCCTATGCAGTGTAAATGCTTTAATATAAGATACTGAATTTTTTTTACACCTTATTTTCTAAACGACACTACATTTTACCACGTTTATCCATTTTCTGTGTTGTTACAAAGCGCAAGCAAGAAGACACACGATTTTAATAACTCACACAGCAGCTCTTCAAATCCATTATAAAAACATGTTCTTATATAAAGACTTTTAACTTGGCAAGAAATGTGCTTCCTTTCTACAATGGGCTTGGTTCATAGCAATACCTGGGCAATGGACATGTACTTAGTAGGAAAAAAAAAATCAGAGTCTGTAAATGGGGTTATTAACTCTGATGTAAACCAGTACGTTCATACGTTTTGATACCTTTGGAAACATAACTCATCTGCCTTTATTAAGGAAACAGCTGACCTGTCCTGATTCAATCTGAAAGCAAACACTCTTGTTTAAAAACTGCAAACTGAGCAGTTGTGTTTTATTTTATTATGTTTTCTTCTTTTTAAACAACTTCCTTATGATCTCACCACAATGAGTTGTGGTATCTATCTGTGAACTGGGCCCACTGTTTACAGCATTAGTCTATGTAACCAACATTCAATGTACTTAACTGAATGAGCAGATTCATTCTTTGGAACTAAGAACAACTGACTTTGGTTTGGCCAGAGAGCAGGGAAGCTGTGGCCTGGTAAAGGATGGGTGCTGCTGTACCGGGCCATGTTGCACATAAGGAAATCACTGGCTGAAAGACTGATGGCTAACAGAGCATCATCAGCGTTTGGAAGTGGGTTATACTGCACTGCTGCAAACCAAGTTACCAATGATATAACACTACTTCAAGAAAAAATAAAAAGCATTAAAGATATGTAGATATTTATTTTAATGCTGCAACACCATAGCTATCGTTTTTCACTGCTCTGATATCCAAGGATTCCTAGTACTACATGAATGAATTTCATCTGCTTTGTTTTTTAGTTTCGGTATTTTCATTCAAAGCAAAGTAACTCCTAAGTAACTCCTATTTCTTTGTACTGCACTGAAATAAAAGAAATCCTGTTTCAGTATGTGATGCTTTTCCTACTTTCTTTTGGTTGTGCTTCAGTCAGCAGTTGTGCCTCTGAGCACAGCCCAGCCCAGCTCCCAGCCCTGGGCACAGATGGAGGCACACACAGACAAGATTTCCATCGAGGCTGTGTGCTGCCACAGCAACAGCAACACAGGTCTGCTCACCCCTGTTCTAAGCTTCAGATACTTAAGGCTATGCCTGAATCATGTTTCTAGGCACATCAGGCCCTCTGTCACTTATGTCCACACTGAACAAACTCTCAGTCTGTAAGGCAGCTCTGCTGACTATATCAACACCAGTAAGTCAAGCAGTAGCACAGTACAAGCTTGATCCATCTCCCTGCTGGCCCACAGCTTGCTCTCTACCAGACAGTGCCTCAGCCAAGCACAGCTGGCTGCAGCTGCCCTGGGAAAGAAGAGAAAAAGCACAGATTGGACAGCTGGTATCAATCTGTGCAACCCAGCCACACAGCCAAGGAACTGCTCTTGGCCGCCTCTCTCATACCCCCAACACTGCACCACCCAAATCTGAACCTAAACAGCAAATCTTGCTGTCAGGCAAAAGTGCAGCCTTCTACAGGATGTCCTTTACCTACGAGCATTCCAGACCAGCAGGGAACTCTGTCTCCTCATTTCCAATTCTTCCCCAACTAACCAGGTCCAGTTGCTATTGAAACCATAAACTATCCCATTATTCCACCCACAAATAACAGCACTTATTAGAAAAGAATTATAACAACAGGAAAAAAAAATCTGCTGAGCTCTTTGCTTCTCTGTAATGTTTTTGTTGTTGTTGTTGTTTTTTAAGTTCTAGAAGAAACAAATAAAACTGTCTAATGTGAGCCCTGCCAAAAATCAAGGCCATAGAGCCTCACTCTGCACTTCAAGCCCCAACCTTTTCTTGGGGTTATAGCTGCTTAGACCAGCAGGAGGCTAATTACAAAGGAGGAAGAAATAAACATTTTATATAGGGTAATGAAATGGAAGCACCTGAAGATGCTGCAGCAAATTACCGGAATAGCTGAGCTTATCAGATGGTACCAATAAAGGAGACAAGCTCAGATTCTTTTCTTTCTTCCGTGCTTTACACCTCAAAGTAGCTGGTTCAGTAACAGCACAGTGGGTACAACTTCTGTGTTACGTCATAATTATTCTTGCACAGAAATAACAGCCTACAAAAGCAGTGACATTTGATACAGGCAAGTATCATTAAGTGTGAAAATGTACATCAGATTTTCATGCTTGGAAATTTGCATAAAAGAACAATTTCTTCTCCCTTGTTTATTACTTTCACTGGTTATTAAAGAACAAAACTTGTTGGCCTATTGCATATTAGCCTCCCTCCTTGCACCCACCCTCTAATGCTTTCAGTTCTAATACTCCACCTCTGGCTATTTTCCTCAATCCCAGAATAGTTTGTTCTAGGATACAGCCAGAAATGACAGCACAGCCTGAATCAACAGCCCAGAATTTTATTTGCAGCTCTAATTCAATATAAAGTAAGGCTATCAACCTCCCATTAGATCTCAAAGAGCAAGAAAGCATTTGAAAAATTAATGCACAAAAGGAAAACAATCTGTACTATATGATAGTTCAGGTCCCCTCACATCCTAAAAACTGGATTATGAAAATAAGAATGATTGTAACAGGAATTCTCTACCCGAAGACCTTGTTTCTCTGCTTAGGAGGGGAAAGCTTTTTCCACAAAGGGATGCATCTCTGGGCCAAGCAGTCCACCATAAGGAACAGAAGGGATATAACCTAGTAAGGTAGGGCACTGATTCCTGAAGATGTTGACATTTCAAACTCAATTTTGCAGCTCCTCTCAAATGAAGAGTCCTCTCTAACCTCTGATTAATTCTGAGTCCCAATACTCACTACTTATTGAGTGCCATAAGTGTACAAGTCACACACTGCAGTGCAAGAACCCAGCAAGCAATGGCACATGTAACAGAGGAAAAGCAACAGCAAATTAGCTATGGTATGCTTCTGGACTTGTGCTGATATACTTTAAGTTATACAATCACCTCCCTTTTTCTTTAATGCACTGGTTTTAGAATGGTACACTTTTTAAAGGGGCAGATGGACATAACACACTCATACTGTGCTGTGACAGACTTCTGAACTGCGCATACTTCATGTTGTTGCCCCAACACCGAACTGGTGCACCTAAAGAGAACTCCTCTGAAGATAGCCCAGGTTTTAAGCTGTCTCCACAGCCTAGTAATCCAGGTCAATGGAAATGTATTATGGACTTCAACAGGAGAGCCAGAAAGACACACATCATGGATGTTTGGCTCATTACAATAAAACTTTTGAAGCACATCACTCTTGCAGTCAATGGTTGAACAGTCCCTTCAACATGATGCACACAACCGGTCTCAGTACCAGAAGGTCATATGCTAGCCTCTACTCTGTATCCTTCCAGTGATTATAGCCAGAATCAATCAGCAGAGCACTAAGTCATCAAATAGGTTTTTACTGCTGGTGTAACACAGTACTCCCAAAGACTACGTTCAGCTGACAAAATATTAATGCTGGACTTTCAAGGGACTTATGAGCTACCAGAAAGGTGACATCTTGTGCAGCGAAACGAGCTAAGCAAGTTCATTTTAAATGCTTATAAATGCTTAAAGCATCTCAACACACATAGAACTGTCATACTGCTAAAGCTATGCACTGCTTATGTTACAGAACTGCTCATAAAAACTCATTTCTGACCAAAAGCACCACTTAAACCAATGTGGTAACTGCAGGGAGAAAAGGATCAACAAATTCATTCCAATTCATCCTGATACAGCATTTAGAGTTGAAATCACAACTTTCATGGATGGCCCATTCAAATTGGACAGCAGCTCTGTTAGCAGTGCAGCCAGTACTTACAGACAACTAAAGCAGCAAAA